CAGCAACACAATGTCTAATGTGATAGCATTTCAGTTTCCTCTTTATGGACTCTTTTGCTTCCCATTGTTACTTATGACCATTATTAGGATACCTGCTCAAAGGTAGTTCTTAAAGCTATTCAAAGCTATTAAAAACTGTATCAAATGCATTGAGCATGGCGTAAAGTTTTGGCCAGCTGTGTCGAATTGATTACTTGGTTCATGAATGCACATTATACTCTTAACAAGAATCTGTTCGTGTTAAGAGTAAATCTACATAGTGACAATAAGATCAAACCGAAGCTTTTTTTTTAATAAAGGATGTCAGTTTAAAGTCATATAAACTTTAAATCTTCAGGAGGCAACATTGAACTCAATTACAGAAATCCGCACACTTTCACAGATTAAAGGTGCCTGGGGAGGGCGGAGCTAGAAGTTAATCTTAGCTAGAAATATAAGTTAATCAGAGAAATGGATTACTACAGAAAGGGGACTTTGCTGTTAACCTAGCAGGCTAGATTGATCATTTTTAACACTCTGGTTTAGTTCTGCACAATATGAATCTGGGCCTGATCCAATCAAATCTGTTCTGAGAAAGGAGGACCAGGTTAACGCTGGGAACAATGTTACTATGGCAGGGGTCGTCAACCCAAACTGCTCAAAGAGCCATATTGACCCAAAAAAAAAACCAAATATCAATCTGTCTGAAGCGTATGGCAACACGGGCTCTAAGTGTATTATCCCACTATAGAAAACGACTTTGTGGGCTTTATATAACAATCATTCATGATTAAATGTTTATCCTGGATCAAAAGGCACATAGCAGCATGAGGTGAGGGAGTGAACGCTCTCAACGTGTGCTGCTTCACCCCCCTACACTGCACTATTTAAGTTTTGTTGCATTGATGAAATTATAGAAACGGCATAAAGGAATCTTTCTATGGTGAAAGTGTTTCTGTTGGGAGGATTTGATTCGGTCATGAGGAACCAAGCAGGAACTAACATCCATCAGAGCAGTGCTCTCTAACCCTGAAATCCCACATTCTCCGTCACCATTGTTTCTTGGTGTAAATTTTATTTTAAGAAAAAATGGAAGAAAGTTCACATACCTGCATCAGAGCGCTACCTTTTTGATCTGTGGACGGTTTTCCATCCTTGCAACAAAACTATCAACAGTATTGGAGTTTGGAGATCCAATCCACTTCTTAAATCTATCTTTGCACTCCTCTAATTTATCCAGAAGTTCTGCAATTGAACTTTTTCTCTCACTCCCGACTTTGTGGTCGGCTGCATGTTTAGCTTGCCTTCCCTGGAAATGCCTTTCCACATTTTTTGACAACCTCTCATTACAAAGCATAAAATACAGGTAATCCTTCAGCATTGGTAATGAAAGCAAATTATTTGGTCCATTCTTTGAATCCTCTTTTCTCATCAGCTATCTTCCTTTTTTCCCTTGGGATCCATGGTCCGAGACACACCTGCAGCTTTGTTTGCCTGGCACCGCGCCACACTGTTTACAAGTTATAACCTTTGATCTCTATGACTATGATGCAAATTATTGTTTAAATTTATTTATCATACAAATGTTTACAGCATTGGAAAACATAATTAATTTTTGTTTAACCTCCTGCACACCATATATATAAAAAAAAAGCTTAGAAAACTTAGTTTTCAGTAAACCTGCATTTTGAAATAGACCCCTAGTGTCCACGTACCAAAATTTGGTTGTTTCAAGGTAGCAAGTGAAATCGCTCCAGACCCAATGAGAAACCACAATTTATACTTTACTGTTCATGCTGTTCCCCTTTAAAGATGATTCTGACAAGTGTGATTGCAACCGCTACAGTACGTGTACGTTGTATTGTACCATCATGTTTATGTTGGTTTGACTGTGGGCTCAGCAGCTGTTGCTCTCTTCACAGCTACATGTTCTGCTTTGGGCCATAATACTGCAACGTGATTGGCTGGCTCTTTTTGTGTTGGACTAAACAATTTAAGCTGGAGAGATACTAGATGGATTGCTGTGTGCTTGTAAACTTGAAAATACAGCAATAATTCAGCTTGCATGCGCAGTTACTGTATTATACTGGTAGGAAGGTTAATATCACTGTTTTAAGTCCGGTCAGAATTCTAAAAAGGAAGAGCAGTGTATATTTTAGTAGTGTTTTACAAAACTTGAGTTTACAGTTTATTTTTCTCTTCAAATCCACTGTGTGGAACTGAACAACAATATGATATCAGTGTCAAATAAACAGAAAACTATTAGCACAATTACACTCTTAATGACTCCATTATTGATATTTTAAATGCAACACAGGTAGACACTTTTAAATAAAGTACACTCTTTGTTTTCAGCATTACGTTCTTGTATTTCATGCACATACTTCAAAATGAGGGGACAAACAAACGGTAAATGGCAACTACCCAAACTTAAGACTACTTCTTCTTGTCCGTCTCTTCTCTCCCTCCCACTGGATGCTCTATGGGGTTCTAGGTTCTGAGTCTTAAAGCCAGAACCTAGAAAAATTAAAGTTTGTCAGAAAAGGTGATATGGGGGAAGAAACATAAGATTGTCCTATATGATTGAAAACACAGCTGGAGAAATGACAATAAGAGGAAGAAACAAGAAGACTAAAGATTATAGAATATTTAGGCTTAAATCTGAATTTTTTTTTTAAATAAAAGCTATAATTTAGGGATTTGGTTTGCAGGCCTCTATTTCAGATAGGTTTGACACATGTGTTACACAACATGTTAGATACAATGGTTAAAAGCCTGGACTTATATCAAGTCAAGTTATCAAGTCTGAGGACTCCTAAATGCATCAAGCTTCAAACTTCAAACAGTAATCCCCTCATTCGTAAACACATTCACATATGCCAAGTTGTGCTTTAGAATTTGTTTTATTTTTAATAATTGCAAATTACACACACAAATCATATCTCCTTTGTGTTTATGGACTTCAATGTATTCAATTTTATTTTTTAAAAGCTCCAATTGCGAATTCTGGTTTAGAAAATTTATTCTCATAATCTACTAACCATTTGAGGTTAATTCATGGGTTCGGTTCTGTAGCCTGGCTGCCATTCCGAACTTAGTCCCGCCCACAAGGTTTGAGGTCGGGAAGTTCAGTCTGGCATTGCTCCATAGTAGTGCGAGTATGATCGCCCACCCTCTGGCGATCCAATCAAATTGTCAGGGCGGGCTTTATACGATGATGGACAGATGATCAACAGTAACGTAATCAACCACGTGACCAATGCGCGCTTGGGTGACAACAACAATGGCTGCCACTGGAGAGTTGAGGTGAGTAGATTCTGCTATTAGGTCTGTTCTAGAAGATATCGACAGCAAATTAATTTTAAAAGAGGAACAGAGAAACGTGATCAAGGCTCATCTTCTTATTCTAGGCGTGCAACTGCACGCTTTGATTTTTGTTGACAACAACTATGTGTCGCTTAACATACGTCACGCACTCCGTTGCTCTTATTGGTTGTAGGTCTATCCAATTGAGTGCAGAGGCATTTTTTTTCCTGGTTCGTTCAAAAGACACCCCATAATCACAGCTCAATGGAGCAGTATCAGACTCATATTCTGACTAGAATTGAGTAGGACTACGTCAGGCTATCGGTTCTGTGCTCTCCAACCCAATAATAAAGGTATAGATCTGGCACTACGTGTAACACAGGGTAGTACAGATCAACATGTTGGACAGTTTGTTAAAGTACCTTCTTTTGAACCACTGAATATTCATAAATGTTGTCCCACCCTGTGAGAGTCACAGTGATACATTGATTTCTTTAAACAAAGTTCTCATAATTTCTTAATTTTAATAACTGTTGCTAGATAGGCTAGATAGGGTTGCTATATATGATACATTTTTAAGAAATTATGTGGAAAATGAAAAATAACCAAGCCTTTAAAATAATACTGAAATGAATGTGTTAAGTCAAACAAGTTTTATCCAAAGCTGTGGATCCAAAGACATATTTTTTGGAAACTTTGCTAACTCATTGAAAAACCTGTTCAAGTTCTCATGGCAAACCAGTAGAATAAGGGAGAGCAAGAAAAGAGATCACAAAAATTAAAGCATTAAATTATGTAGCACAAAATATTTAAAAAGAACCAGACAAAATTATTGTCAGATGGAGGAAGATGGAGAGTGCTAGCATTGAAGTCTGTCCCAGAAACCTTTTTTAGTTTATTGAATATGGCCTTTGGCAAAATGTAGAACCTCATGAGATATAAAAAGTGCCCTTTAACTCAAGTTCAAAAAGACAAACTGATGAGTTTGAAGCACAAAAACTGTTTGTGGATTAACTGTCAAATGTGTAAAAACAGATTAACTAATCAGTTTGGAGGTCAACAGATAATTTGCCATCTCTTCTTGCTTAATTCCTGAATGCAATAAAGTAGCTCAAGTTGGATTCTTAAAATTTCAGTTCAATTCAGTTTATTTATATAGCACCAATTCACAACACATACCATCCCACCACTCTTTGCAATTCACCAGATAATACGATCAAATAGTTTCAAAGTAATCTATCTAAGGAAAACCAGTTGATTGCATCGACTCATTGACTTGAAAGCAATCCCTCCCACTAAGCATGCTTGTAGCGACAGTGGGGAGGAAAAACTTCCTTTTAAAAGGAAGAAACCTCCAGCAGAACCAGACTCATTGTGAGCGGCCATCTGCCGAGGCTGACTGGGGTTCAAGGAGACAGAAGCAGACATACATTAAGAAGCAGAGATACAGAAGGCAACTGTAACCCAGCTCCACAGGCGGCCCTGTCCAAACACACAGCCAGGCAGAGAAAGTTATAGATCCTTTCCTTCTTTGACACTGCTGTTTCTTTTACTTCTAATCTGCAAACCTTTAGAGCTGCAGTCACCATGATAGATCTAAATATGTGAAAAAATGATTAAAAAGTAAATAAATCAAATTTCCGACATCACTTTTATAAATTCATTTTGAACTTGATAACTTTAAAAGGCATCTTATAGTTAATTTGTATTTGCAGTTTTTTTTTTTTTTTACAATATTCTGTAGCATGTCCTAAATTCACATTGCGTTGTTTTCCTTCTCTCTCTCCTTCTGGAATCCAATGAAGGCTCTTAAAGTAGAGATGTTCTCATACTCAGGATCCAGGTTGAGCTAATATAGGAGACAAAATAGAGTGATTAAAAAATGTTTTTATAAATATATATATATATATATACATATATTTATCAAATGTTATTTTTAGAACTGTTTGAAAATGACCCTCTGTCGTGATTCTGGCCTGTTTGTGAAACAGTGCCTGTCTGTCCCTGCTTACATCTGTGATGTAGACATTATTGATTGTTTTCATCTGCATTTCCTCTGCCTAAACCCTAATCACCCCTTATTCACCCCATCTGTTTTCCTATTTATATACACACTGTTCTCTGACTAGAAAAATGCTTGCCTGATCTCCATCGCGTTGCAGCGTCCCTGGATTTCCCTGTAGTGCCTTGTCCATGTCAGATGTTCTCATGGTTTCTGATCTCTAGATGTTGACCTTGTGTCTACCTCCTTTCTATTCCCAGGATCTGTCAGCCTGAATCTACCTCCCTTCTTATAACCTCTTTTTGTGTCCTTACAACCGATTCAAGCCTGATCCTGTTATCTGTTTCTGCTTCTATGACTTTAAACAAGTTTCTTATCAGATTCCAGAGTTCCAAACCTTAAAGCTTTTCCTCTGATTTTTCAGATGTGGATATTTTGGGTAATACCCTATTGTCAGACCAATAATTCTCTTTCACCACCCTTCAGGTATCCCCACTCTCCAACAGATTCTGAGGAGGGTGGCTTTATTTATAGCACCATTAAGTTTTAATCCTATCGGCCAAAGTAGAAGGTACTGGACTTTGTTTTGGAAAATATATTTTAACTCAACATGCTTAGAAGGGTAAAGCTTTGAGATTGTAGTAAGAACTGTAGACTTCATTTGAACCTACCAGGAAATTCCTTCAGGATAACTGCCATCAAGACAAGACCATGCTACAATTCTACAGACAGGGAGGCATTCCATTGGATTCAGACCAATTATGGCCAATTTTTTTGATGGAGGAAATGGAGAGGAGATAGTGAACTTCCAGGGTAACTTGTGTAAATATTTGTATGACACCTGTGTCAAAACCCAATCCCACACGATCCCTTTACTGAACACATTAACTAACTGAACATCCAGCTCCAATAGAAGGATGCCACAGAAGACAAGCTGCCATTATTCGACAGCCTAGTTTTCACAAAAGTGAGCTTAATGACTCTATTGGTGTGATTCTTTTTTATTGCTGTTTCTTCACACACCTTTCAGAACTTGAGAAGCCCTTAGGATGAAAGATGAAGCAGTTTCAAGCAAGAGAAGAAATCTAGCTGCCTTCGACTTACGCACTTACTGTATGACTGACACTCTACACCAGACATGGGCAAACTACGGCCCCCGGGCCGTGTAAGGCCCGTTAGGCTTTTTAATCCGGCCCACCGAACTTGTCCAAATATTTTCACGACTATAAGGCGCACATAAACGTCTTTTTTTCCCCTTAAAATGTGCGGTGCACCCTTTGGTGCGGTGTGCCCTATGTGTGTTGTAACTGCGACTTTTGAGACCACCTCATTGAGGAGATGATGAAAGAGTGGCTGAGGAAGGTGAATGTAAAGAGACCAGGTGGTTTTTTTCCACTCATCACCATTGCTGTTATTCTGTGACTCCATGTGTGCCCATCTCACAGCTGATGTGAAAAACATGGTGAATCAAATGAATGCTGTGCTCGCTGTTATTCAACCACTCGAAATCGGTGTGAACCGGACGCAGCAGGCGCAGCAGAAGCAGCGAGTTTACATGCAAAGTCAATGGTTGACGCGCGTATAGGCGCAGCAAAAGGTCCCGCAGCGCGTTTTGAGCAGCAGGCGCAGCACGTCGGGAGCGTTTAAGCATCTGACGCGCTGCTGCTGTTCGAGATGGAAAAATTGAACTTTTGCTGCTGGAAGCGCCGCATCAGCCAATCAGAGAAGCTGATCTGGGAGCTGACAGCGAGACAGACACATCGCTCTGATGACATATGATATTAAGGCAAATGAAAAGGGCTGGATAGATGAGGAGATGATGAAAGAGTGGCTGAGGCAGGTGTATGTGAGGAGACCAGGTGGTTTTTTCCACTCATCACCATCGCTGTTAATCTGTGACTCCATGCGTGCCCATCTCACAGCCGATGTGAAAAACATGGTGAAACAAATGAACGCTGTGCTCGCTGTTATCCCGGGAGGTCTGACAAAGGAACTTCAACCGCTCGACATCGTGTGAACCGGCCGTTCAAAGTAAGGCTGTGAGCGGCGTGGGAGCGATGGATGACAGACGGAGACCACAGTTTAACAAAAAGTGGAAGGCAGCGCCGGGCAAGTTACGCCACCGTTTGCGGATGGGTTGTAGATGCTTGGACTAATGTGTCTGCTGGCTCTGTTGTTCGAGCTTTCGCAAAAGCCGGCATTATTTCTGAGGAGCCGCCCGGCACGGAAAGTGACTCTGGCAGCGAAGAACGGGAAACTGGCATGTCTGATTTAGCGCAGCTGTTTAATTCAGAAACAGAGGATGATGACTTTGATGGGTTTGATTAATACTTTGCAATAAATACTTGAATAAGGCACAATCATACTCAGTTTTGCTCCCGCTCTATTTTTCTACCTGAAAACTTAATTCAACAGCAGCCTCTGGGCCGGGTCGCCTCCGGTTTCACCGCGGCGGCTGGCAGGTGTTTTTTCATCTAAATAATCTAAATCTTGCAGCTATATTTGCTGTGATCAGTGGGAATAAGGTAGTTTTAATATGTTTTTAAGTGAGAAAGTCCACCTGAAAACTTAATAATTGCAGTCAGTTCATCCAGATTATCATCCTGCCTATACTATTTCTGTTGAAGGGTGCAGAATTGCTACAACGAAACTAACTCCAGACTTTGATGCACTGGCAAAAAAAGGAGAACAACAACACTGTTCCCACTGAAATGTGAGTTTTTCTACTGTGTTATGAAAAAAATAGCAACTTGCGCATTTACACACAGCAGCGGTACAGTAGCTTAATTAACATGCCGCACATCGCTCTCATTTTAAAGACCCCTTTCTTTCGTTGGGTAATAATATGTTCTGAATGTTGAAAGTGATTCCATTGATTTTTTTTTTCCACTAAATGTTGATTTCTTTAAATTTGCACCTTCAATTGTCTGTTTTTTTTAATACATTTCAATCCCCAGGTTTAATAAATTACATTGCTTGTCCAAATGCTCCTGGGCCGGCCCTTCTGTCAAATTTTAGAACCCATTCTGGCCCGCAAGTCAAAAAGTTTGCCCACCCCTGCTCTACACCAATAGTCATGAATTGTGTTTGCTTGTGATCAACTGGATATCTTACCTCGAGATGCTCTTCATATTCCTTTGACTCAGTTTTTTGGCTACTTCCTTTCTTTTTCCTGAATTCAGCATGTTAAGTATTTCAATACATAAACAGAAGTAAAGAAAAAAATCAGGATGTTTTATAAAAAGTGTGATGGGGGAACTATCTGTTGTTTTCTTTCTGATCTTACCTCATCAAAAGAGAAAGAAGTATCAGCAGCAACAGTATAGCCACAGCCAGCTTCGTGATATTCATTATTTTGAAGTGCATCGCTACAAGAAACATATTAAAATTTTAATAGAAAATGAACATTCAAACCTTTACTATACAAGTTATTAAATACTTCATATGTAGCTGGTTTGTTTGTTTTTAGTGTTTTTTTTTTACTAAACTTGAATAAAAAATGCTGAGCTTATGAAATAAAGGTTTTAGTTAAGTGTCTTGCAAACTCTACAGCTTACATTCCACAAAATTAATTGTCATCCTTGTGAATTGTACCTTATTACATTGTTAGTTTTTTTGTTCACATGAATTTTAACATCAGTATTAAAGGGGGAATCGACAAGCTATGGCTAGATATGGCGTCTTACAATCTATAAGGAACCTCGTGGACTAAAATGCTGAGATATCTAGCATACTGTGACTTTGCTCCTGGTTAGACCACTTTCTAACAATGGTAGTTTTCACATTAGCAATGTCCTCAGTGAGTACTTCCCTCTGCTGCTCCTTACACAAAGGAGCAACTCCATCTTCCCTGAGGCTCAGCCTGAAATTACTTATGAACTTTACAGATAAGACCAGTCTATGAATTATTTTCAAACTCAGATATTGTCCCAATGTTTAAACAAATATGGTGTTTTAAATAATTTTTGCTTTTTGTAAAATATTCAAGATGGAGTCTGACCAGGGAACAATATGTATGACATGAACTTGACATATAAAGAAATTTAGTCCAGTTTGGCTATAAAAATAAAAGAAAACCTATATTAACTTAGCACGGAAGACTAAGCTGTGAAATAGATCACAGAAACTATGATAAAGGTCATAATCTACATTTTCTGCACTGTGTGCATATTTTGTCTCATTTCGTCCCTCTGTGGTTTACCAATGGACAGGAATCATAAATCATGGTTAATCCAACAACATACACCATAAATATTACCTTTCACATGAACAATTCATATTTTTATTATTTATTGTGTGATATGACAGATACTTTAAATAACTTTAATTGGACTGTCATTATAAATTAGTCATTTCTTCTAAGACTCAATAACAGATTTGTAGTTTTATCCTATGTCTACTAAATCAAAGTAAAGCTGATAGGAGTATTAGCATCTTAAGATAAGTCACAAACTACTCATTATGTTCACATAAAATCCGACTCCCAAAAAATATAACTTACGCTTAAATTGCATGCCTGCACCGGGTGCTTTATCCAACTTACTTGCAAAAACAGTAACATGTATAGCAGATTTGTGACTTCCTCTTCTGTTGATGGCTTCACAGTAATAAAGCCCACTGTGTTGTTGGCCTATATTTGCAATCGTCAAGTTCTGACTTGAATACTGTGGCCATTTTTCATTTTTGTTAAACCAACTATAATTAGCTGCAGGGTTGGCGTCACTGCTGCATGTCAGTGTTAATGACATGCCCTCCTTGATTTCACCAGAAGGAATCATAGACACCACCGGAAGCCTGGGAGCATCTGAATAAATAAAGATATAAGGATTAGATTGAGGAGGTTCATTTGAAATTACATCACTGATTCTTTACAATGTTTCCTTTTTGGATGCTGTAATTTTGGAGCCATGGTACTAAAAGCCTGCCTTTGATGAGTAGTAATCTTTGACATCAGCTATTCAACACGTGTACATTTCTTGACTGATAATGTTTATAAGCTGAACTGTGATGTAAATCTAAACGAAGAAAAAAATCCAAAATAACAAGGATATGTCATCCAAGCCCGTAGAATGTTTTTGCATCTATAAAATAATAAAAGTGTATTTCAATTCAGTTCAGTTCATTTGTAAAGCGCCAACACATCATTTCAAAACCATTTAGAGAGAAAATGAAATCAGATTGTTTCAAGAAAAAACAGCTGATTGCATCGACTCATTGACTCTTCAACAATCCATCTCACTGAGCATGCATGCAGAGACAGTGGAGAGGAAAAACCTCCTTTTAAAAGAAGAAACCTCCAGCAGAACCAGGCGTCCTTCTGCCAGGGCCCTCTCTGGGGTTAAGGGAAACAAACATAAAAGCATGGATCTATAAAGGTGCATTCACATCGAACTTTTCCACTTGCACTGCGGAGAGTTCACCTCTTTCAGTGCGTTTCAGTTGCACAGTGTTTACCGCAAACCGAGTCATAAAATAGGAGGAGGTGCGTGAACTGAGAGAAGCTGACTTCCTGCCCACATGGGGAAAAACTCAGAAAATAGACCAAATGGTTATTGCAGGCTTGTGCATCATTTGTTTAAAAATAAATCGTTCGACCTTTTGTTTCAGACATATTACACATCCTTTTCTAGGTCATCCAGAGGTCAGCCATCCCTTCATTAAGCTCTCATTTGAACCAAGGTACAAAAAATAAGGGGTTTGTTTAAATAATACTTACATTCTACATCAACTATGATATTCTTAGATGTCATCATGAGGAACTTATTTTGAGCTGTGCAGAAATATTTTCCAGAGTCAGAAGACTGAATAGATTTTAAAACAAGCTTTGACTCTTTGCTGCGTGGATCAGGTTCATCCTCCTTGTACCATGTGTATTTAGCTGGTGGATTAGCATCACTGCTACAAACCAAAGTCACAGAGCTTCCCTCCACCACATCCCCTGATGAATGAAGTGAAACAATGGGGGGCCTTGGTGCATCTAAAAAAGAAAATAAAAGCACTTTAGTAACTGGATAGTCTCTGTCAAATTAATTATTTTCTTAGTTATGAACTAGAGCATAGGTCTTTCAGAAAAGATTCTGGAGTGTAAATTGAATAATTTAGACTCTAGAATCGCCCTAAAATCATGCCCATTGATGAGAAAATGGACTGAATAAGTGGGAATGCATATGCATTGAATATGATTGAAAAGGGACATATATTCAGAATACATTCAGAATATATACATATTCTGAATGTTTTTATATTTCATACACATGGATGACTTAAAATTTATAGTTTTTTTGTGGACAGAGAAATTCAAATTAATAGGATTTTACTTGTCAGTCGATGTGCTACAGTCAGTGTGCGATGAATAAATGATCTTCTCAGTGAATGCCAATTCCCGATTTTGTGATCAACACCATTCCAGATTATTCTTGACACTTTATTTGTTAAACTTGGAACCTGGAACCTGCTGAAGATCCCCCCCCCCCCCTCCTTATTTTCACATTTATTGTCCCAGACTGAAATTCATACCACAATCACAGAGAGCATATAAGATTATGTGGAGAAAATTGCATAATTGTAAACACATTATTTCTCAAACTAAGCAGGGGGGGGAGATCTCGGCAACTTAGAACCAGGAACCTGCCGAAGATTCCCTCCCCTCCTTATTTTCGCATTCCCTCAAATCGCGTCTCTTTGCTGCTTGTGGGGATGTTCATTTAAGAAGGGGGATGATTTTTAAGATTTAAGAAGGGGGATACCATCCCCCCTCAAATCGATTACTGCTTATAACTATTGGGACACACTACTCTTACACATGATCGTGTGAAAGAACGTGTAGTTGATGATGTTGGATAAGGGGTCCAAATCTGAAGGAGTTATTTTACTGACTTAAAAAAAATTCAGTGGTAAAAAACTAAGCCAAAATACTATACACGAAATACAGAGAATGAACAAACCAAGGGATAGGCAAACAAACAAAGGGACCATCTGTCAGGACTCCTGTCTGTGTGTTTGTGTCCTGTGTTTGTCTCCCTTCCTCCACCATGAGGCGCCTGGTTCTGGTCCGCCTCCTCACACACCTGCTGGTGATTTCCTCGTTAACGGAGTGTTCTTAAGCTGCTGACTGCCACTACCTCGACGCCAGAGTGTTTGCCAGTTGTGGGTACTCTAGCCAAGCTGAGTACCCACAACTGAGTTTTGCTGAGTCAAACTGAGTTCTTGTCAACCTGAGTTTTAACATTGTTTTTGTCTTTGCCTCTCAGCAGGAAGTCATCCTGCAAACTAGAATTTTCAGACCTTCTGTAGGGAGCTGGAGAGGTTCCACCTTTCTCCAGCAGAGTCCGCCGTGGATCCTCTGAGGGAACCTCCTGCACAGCTGCAGCTCATCAAGATCATCAGAGGATCCACTACTTAAGCTGTCTTCAGACCTTGCCTCAACGCCGCAGTGTTGTTCCAGTTGGTCAGCGCTTAAGCCTAGATCCTCAGTGAAACTCTATGACTTTGAATCCAGCCTGGATTCTAACCATTGTCTCTGTCTTCCAGGAAAACAGTATCTCCTCTGTGAAGCTCAGGAAGAGCTAACCTGCCGAGCCTACCCCCGAGCCAAACCTGAAGAATCTAAGAGAACCTCCAAGCAGCTCAGGGCTAGAGCTGGAAAACCCAAAGCCAAGGTCTGTGCATTTCTAGAAGTGAGACGCTGAAGCAGCTAGCGGACTCTGCTGATGAACCCCTCTCCAGATCCTACAGAGACTCTCCCAAAGCTAAACCTCAAGAACCCTCAAGGTACAATCAGTAAGCTTCTGGAAATCAAACCTCTGTTGGCAACGCTAACTGAACTGTCTCTCACGCAGACTCCGGTGAACCAGTATCCAGGCCCCGAACCTGAACCAGTACATTCTGTGTGCTTGTGCAAATAAACTTGTTAAACTTTCATCCCTGTGTCCGTCAGTGGTGTTCTGCATTCTTGGGTCGCCTTTAGTGAACCCATCATGACACCTTCTCTCCCTAGAAGGATCAACAGAGCTTCAAGCTGAGCTGGGGTTACAAACAGGAGGTTTGGACCCACTTTCCCAAAGAGATCGTTTGAGCTTCACAGAGAAAGGGATTCATCTCCACTACGACCCGTTCAAGTACCGCAGGAAATCTGAGTGGCAGTCAGCTTCTCTGTTCACCTACAAACAACTGCATTCTGGGTAAACCCTGTTCCGCCCTCCACAGAATCAGACAAACACTGGAACAACAGCATACAGACTGGAGTCAAAGATTCATCAACTTCTCTGGAAACGTGAGTCAGCAACCATATCCTCTTCTCCAAGTTCACGAATCAAATTTCCCACTGAGCCTGAACTAATCGCTTAAACCTTTTCTCCTGGTCTCCCTGTTTGGTCTTCAGCATTTGGGTCTGAACCTAGTAAAATCATGACACCATCAAAGTAAATGATACACCCATTGCTACAACTGCTGCCTCCTTAACCTTTACCAGCATGTACCTACTCCAATATAAGGACTCAAATATACTTGGTCAGCCCCCCTCCCAGCTCAAAAGTAAGTATCAAAATTCATACAGAAAAGAAAAGAAACTGCATACTTACATTTTACATCGATAAAGATGACTTCAGATGTCATGATTTTCAAAATATACGCAGCTGTACAGTAATACTCCCCTGAGTCAGAAGATTGACTAGACCTGAAGACAAGTTGTGAGTTTTTGCTAAGAGGACCAGTAGAATCCTTCTTGTACCAGGTGTAAGTAGCGGCTGGATTAGCATCGCTGGTACAGGTTAGAATTATAAAGCTGCCCTCCAGTATTTCACCTGCAGTATTCAATGACACAGAGGGCAGCTTTGGCACATCTGGAACAGACAAGAAGCAGTTTATAAATTGGTATAGAATTCTTTTCATTTAGCTTGAAAGGATGTTTTTGGTTGATTAATTGATTGATTGATCTGTCAAACCTGAAAGTCATGAAGCAGGGCTTATATTTTACACAACTATAACAAAGGTAATTTTGAAAACACTTCATTTTAATTAAGAAAAATAATATCTGAACCAGCCTGACCATGTGTGAAAGAGAACAGATCATCATTTGAGCATTTGATTTCAGTTTTTCATTTAGTAACATATGTGTTAATGTTTTTTATATGAATTTCTCCTTGAATTATCTTATCTTGTTTCCACATAAGCCTTTTTTCTCTTCTTTTATTTATTTGTATGTTACAGCTGTCAATAAGTATTTGAACACCTGAGAAAATCAATGTTAATATTTGGTACAGTAGCCTTTGTTTGCAATTACAGTGGTCAAATGTTCCTGTAGTTTTTCACCAGGTCTAAACACACTGCAGGAGGGATTTTGGCCCATTTGGCCCTAGGCTGATGAAGGTTCTCAGTCATCCAGGTCAAAGTCATTCCGTAAAATTTCAAAAAATATCCACTGGACTTGGTTTTCAAGATTTGAAGACGTTTCGCCACCTCTCCAGGAAGCTTTCTCAATTCAAATGTCTGGATCCGCAGTGAGTTTGAGTCTTATATAGACAACGCCTTGTATCGCTTGGAACCATCGGTTACCATTGCATGTTTCCAAGCGATACAAGGCGTTGTCTATATAAGACTCAAACTCACTGCGGATCCAGACATTTGAATTGAGAAAGCTTCCTGGAGAGGTGGCGAAACGTCTTCAAATCTTGAAAACCAAGTCCAGTGGATATTTTTTGAATTTTTACGGAATTTGGCCCTAGGTTTTTGGCCATTAGATTAGCTAAATGGATGATGTGTATGGTACAAAATTATTTTAAGGCAACTGACACACTGATGGAGAGGGGAACTTCTCATATCCTTTTGCAGCACATGAAATGTGCTCTTTATCACGAAATTCATACGAAAAAAATGAGGAGCTCTCTGCCAAAATTTCCTGTCCGTTCTTGATCCAGATGTAGGGATGTTGATCCGGCAGACAACTGCTTTTGCATTTCATCTCTGTCCAATTATGATTATTTCTGCGCTCTGATTTGGTCACATTTAACTTGAGGCCTGAATGCAAGACAACATAACAGAAATTAAATTAATGGAATCATTTATCAAGTTAAATTATCAAATCAAAAATGAAGAATATTACCAGAGACAGACAGCTTAACACCTGGAACGCCTGTATATATTCCATGTTTGTGATTTGTTTTAAACCTTATCTTGTAGAAAGCAGAGTCAGCCTCTCCAATATTCCTGATTCTCACAGTGCAGCCAGTTCCATACTCTACACGACCTGCATAGTCTGGGTCATTTTTCAGATCTATGGGAGCAGTGGATGTTCCTTTAGTGAACCACTTTACACTTTCAACCACTGTAACTATGTTATCTATTTTGGATGGATATGTAAAGTTGCATTGTAAATCCACTGTTGAGCCTTTTATGGCACAGATCTGTGAGGGAGAGTAAGTCACGCACCAGCCTCTCTCACCCTGAACTCCTGCAACAGATGAAAAATAGAATGGGTTTAATTGTTTGACAACAATTCTGCACAGGAATCTGCAACAGGAGAGAAAATTCTGCCTTTTTTCACAAATTCATAGATTTTCAATGTAGTGGCTATATTTTTTGTTTGTGTGTGTATTTGTCTGTCGGTCTGTGTACAGGGTAACGTGAAAAGTTATGTGTCAGGACTCCTGTTTTTGTGTTTGTGTGTTTGTCTCCCTTCATCCACCAGGAGGCGCCTGGTTCTGGACCGCCTCCTCACACACCTGCTGGGGGTGGGGTCTTTAATTGAGTCAAAAAAATCAAAAATAAAATATTGTTTGTCACTAATGGTCACTAAAATGTTTTTAAGCTCAACATGTTGAGTATTAAAATTCAAAACCTTTATTCAAAAATATGTTCTGTTTTTTGCCAAGTGGAGCCAGCCAATCCTGCTCGCCAATGCAAATTAGCCATGTGCTTTGCAGTTAATAACATGGGCAACGCGGAACAGATTGCGTAAAGACAGCAGGTCTTCATTCCAGTTTATGGACCTTAACGGACCTCCTCTGGACAAATTCGACCCAGTTCCATTCGTCAGAAACTGGATTAAAGCAGGACATATGCATGCATGAAAGAGAGTAAAAAAGAGAGAGAATAATAATAATAATAATAATAATAATAATAATAATTATTATTATTATTATTATCATTATTATTATTATTATTTATTATTATTATTATTTTATTTTTATTTTTTTCTGCTGCCATTACCATCTGCCTTTTTGCACTAGCATAAGTATTGTATATTTTATATTATTGTACATTTTATATTTTATTGTGAAATTGAATATTTAAATTTTATTATTAGGAACTGATCTTATCTGTTGTGCCTGTTCACTTTATCTGTTTCACTGTTGGTGAATGAGAAACGTCCTCTCGAGTCCTTGAATATTTTCTGGTACTTGTTGGTAGTTTTGAGGAAGCGGGACTTCACAAATAGTACCTTAATACTATCGTGGAATCCTGCCTTACCTTTCCAGACAACATAAACTTGGTTTTATCCAAATTTAATGATAATTTGTTAATATCAAACCATATCTTAAGTCAACTTAAATCAAAGTTTATATCAGCCATAAGCAGGATCCGAATTATCACCTGTACAAAAGATATTAGTACCATCTGCAAACAAAACAAATTTAAGTACTTTAGAAACTTTGTAGATGTCGTTAATATAAAGGATAAAAAATTGGCCCCAATAATGACCCCTGGGGGACACCACAAACAATGTCCAAGCATGATGACTGGCAGTCACCCAATGCAGAAATCTTTACCTGTTGCTTAGATAACTTTTAATCCAGAGTACTTCTACTGCCTGGATGCCATAAGGCTCCAATTTCTTAATGAATAATTTGTAATTTATTGTGTCAAAGGCTTTTTGAGGTCAATAAATACACAAAATGCAGATTTCTTATTATCTAAGGTGCTGGTGACTTCTTCTATCATTCCAATGACGACCATTGCTATAGATCTTTGTGATATAAACCCATACTGACATTTGGACAGCAAAATATTTTTGACTGAAATGACAGATTACAGATGTTAGTCAGAGGCTAAATAATTTCCTAAATTACCTTCTTAATTACTGAAATATATCTGACTGTGGTGCCAACACATTAATAATTGCTGATTAATGTTTATTTCAGAGCTCTGGTTTTTGTATGGGTCCGATTTTTGTAGGGTCTGGTTTTTTTTTTTCTGCTAGTTTGTGTCCCATATTCACAAAATATGTATTGAAATTATGAATATTGTCATTAAATAATAAACTATTTTTCCAGACTTAAGGAGACGGTTTGAGCCTAAACAGGTGTGATTTTAGTATATAAGAGGGTTAAAGCAAGTTAGGGTCTCTCTTTCCTTCTTTTAATGGAAGAGAACCAAGCTTGATATTCAGGAGTTGTTTCTCTCTATGATTTGCTCTGTTATAATTAAATTGAAAAATTCAGTTAAACCTTAAAATCCTTTTTTCCTTTTTACATTTTATGGAGACTATTCCCTATTTGAAAAAAAGGCCATGTCAATCACACGTGTTAACCGTTCCTGCTCAGTCTTCTGACTGTGGTCGGGAGACGCAGGGCAGTTCCTTTCTCCAGGGCCGAAGTGACAGACTTACTCTGGGGTTAACGCCTTCTACGCCTTGCATATGAACCACACGTTGGCACGAAGGTGGCTGGAAGTTACCCTTTAATAGCGCCAACTAACATAAAACTGCACAGACTTTTTCCTAGCTGCTGCTCCGGTCGTCAGCCACACTCACTCTCCCACATTCCATCCGCCTTCCCCGTTTTCCCTTGTTAGGTTTTATTATTTATACATCATGTGCATTGTTATTTTGTTAGTCAGATTAGACAGAGCAGAAGGCCTTTCTTCACATTGTGGATGTCGCGGTGTGTACGGAGGTCATCTAATCAGGACAGCCTTCGTGTCTCTAAGAATACACAGGATATGGGCACATCTTGGAGCCGGTCTGATAGGAGAGCTACTGTATCTGTAACCCTGAGACAGAGAGGCAACCTGCATGGAGTTCAAGACATGGATGGCGTGTCAGTTTCTGATACGGACAACTAAGCATCCACATGATGCAACACAGACTCAGAAGGTATAAGAAGCAGGAGATGACGTTGTTCGGGGCTCAAACTTTGCCGGACGCTTGCGGACGTGATTTTTGAGACCACAGCTGTGCATAGCTCGAAGCATTTTTCTCTGTCCTGTAACGACCTGATCTGGAATAAACTCTGTTACTTTTTTACTCCTGTTTTTATAGTCCTTTTTTATATGGTTTTACCGAGTTTGAGTTAAGTTTAGTAAATAACTTGCTCCCAGGAAAAGAACCGATGAGGAGGCCCCCGGGGCGCTACAGCCTTTACTTCCAAGGGGACAAATCCTCCTCACTTTAACACCCTCCTGCCTGCAGCGCCCCCTTTCGGACAGAAGGACGGCTGCCACAATCAGCACACACACACCACTTACTGAGCAATCATCACATACAGTGGAGGCACTTTCCGCAACACACGTATACAATAAGTTCCGTGGTTCTTACCCTGTAAAATTATCTATTGTTGTTTTTATTAGATTAATTATAAACAAGCAATTTTTGACTGTCCTTTCTTTATGCAAAAAAGTGTTGCTCTGTCTGTCACTGAGCACCAGATGTTATAAATCTATGTGTGAGCTTGGACCTGTAGCCTGTAAGAGGCAAAGCTAAACGTTTGGCCATCAGTGCAAACACACTTATGCCACATCCTTTTTCCTTTTTGAAGAGGAAAGGGTGATTCATGGGGTGTATTGCTTCACATGTATTTGTAAGATTTAACCCCTCACTGCTAATCTTAGATTCGGTGGGTTAATTTTGACAACTCAACACACTCAGGCTCACAGTATTTATCGTAAGGAAGATAACTGTTATGCCATATGCCATGATCATACTTTTTGGACATTGGGAAGCAGTGTCCATATTTCATCCTGATAGGATGACCAGAGAAGAAAACGCAGCCTTGGTGAATAACAGCTGGGGGACTTCTGCAGCCCCCCTTTTTCAGCCAAAGCAAGTCACATGGGAGCCACCAGAGGTGTGAAAACATACCCCCCTCCCTGTGAGGACAGAGAAAACCACAGAGCACACAGGATTCTGCCTCTTTTTTTTTTGCCTCGCTCTTTTGCTCTTCTGCTGCAGCACCTCTCTCCTGATCCCTTCTGCTCCTGCGCTCAAAGCTGGGGCCCACTGTGGCCCACAGTGGAGATGCGGGCCCCAGGGGGAACCAGATCCCCAGAACCATCAAGGATGAGTCAGAACTCTTCAGAACCTAACTGCTGCAAACAGAACTTTTGCAACACATTTCTCTTGAGTTTCAGAACTTACAGAGCCAAACTGGATGAGAACCATATCCTTGGGGTGAGACTGAGAGGACCCCTGCCGTGAGACTGAGACAAAGGAACCCCTGACTGCAGAGCTGCAAAACTGGATGAAACTCAAGCTTTCCAAATGGACATGGAAAAAGGTTTGCAGGTCTGGCATAATTAGGGACAGAACAAGCAATGTGTCTTTTCATGATGCTAATCATTTCGTGTGTTTACTGCTGAGTAAAGACAACGCTAATTGATGCTAAAGAATAAACATAAATTCCCAGCGGGCTGGGAATAGAATTTAACTATAGAATCACAACATAACTAAGCTGGTGATTAAATAAAGCCAAGGCACCTTTTGCTCAGCAATGAACATATTTCTTTGTATCAAATATCAGAAATACACTTGAACACAACAAACCATTATAAAAATACATATAACACCTTTGGTGCATTGACACATATAAGGCTTGACGGCCTAGAGGTTAGAGCATAGAGCTTGGAATCCTGAAGTTCTGAGTTTGAGCCCCACTCCCACTGACTGCCACTCCGGGTCCCTGAGCAAAGACCCTTAACTCCCACAACAGTATGGGTTAAATGCAGAGAGTTTTTTTTTCGTTGCTCTACAATAATTACAATAATACACCTACATTTTCAATTTGTATACTGCATTTCTGCTTGATCTGTTTAGGGCAGTTTTTATTATACCTTGTATCAAAGACACTTGTCTGTGACAAACACTTCTCTATTTATCTACTGTAGGTTCCTTGGATAAATAAAGGATCATTCTGTTCTGCCCTAATCTGTAAATTGGAGAACAGTGTAAAAGAGCATTGGGTGACTTGAGTACACTGTTGATGTATTTATATACAAATTAATTTTTTAAGCAGACAGAGTAAAAATGTAGTTCTGTTATAAATCATGCATCACTCTTAATTTGCCTACTTTTACAACTAGGCAATTTTTGTTTCAAACATTTTCCAGCCTTCCTTTATCAAATTATAATTCCTGCTCTAACAGACCAACTCCAACCAAACCTTTTCCGTGAGTGGTATTTGACAGACAGCACATTGCCCTCTATCTCCTTCCTTTAAAAAAAAAAAAAAATAGAAAGATAAAGGAAAACAGATACAGTACCTGAAAGAGAGAAAAATGCCAGAACAAATGTGTTCACTGCAGCAGTCAAATGCATGTCTTTCCTATCCATCTCTATTGGTCTTAGTGAACTAAAGACGTATCTTCAGCAAGAGAGCAAATCACAAGTGAATTAACTGTAATACTGATGACCAATGTCAGTACAGATATGTTTCCTGTGAAGTCTGTGGTTATCACAAAACTAAAATAGCAGAGGGTCTTTTTGCATCTACTGTATGGCTATAGGCTTACAAAGCGCTTGACATGGTTGGAAATAATTTTCTTTTTGTTTCCTGTTGTTTATCTTTGATTCTAGAATTAAGGCTTCACGCATATGTCATGGTTTTGGTTTTGTTAAAGTTTTAGTTTTTAGTGTTTTTATTGTTTCGGGGAAACGCCCCCTCCAATACTCAGTGATGGGAGTAACGGCGTTGAAAGTAACGGCATTACTAACACCGTTACCTTGTTTTAGTAACGAGTAATCTTACTAATTACTTTGACTGTAACTATGACGCAGTTACCATTGCAGACACCCCGTTACTGCGCGTTACTCAGGTCGCACAATTAACCTTTTTTCATGATAGGACTCGTGCGCGCCTTGTCATTAGAGAGGGGAGGATGAGATTGGCTGATGTATTGTGAGATTCCGTCTGTCAGTTGGGTAGGTGGGTGTTTCTGCTGGTGGGTGTTAACGTACAGCACACACAGAGAGAGATGGAGAGTGAGGATGACTCCAGTAGCAAAACAGCGCTTTCCAGATGGAAATACCCCTGCATCTCCGCACAGCGCAGGCGGTACGATTCACTGCGCAAGCGACAGGAAACGCGCATGCTCGCTAAAGGCGCTCAACAGTCGCCCTGTGCTCGCGCCACAGGAGAACTGGAGAGCGTGAACGATCAAATGATAGCCTACATGGAGAAAGGGAGAAAGATGGATGGATGGATGGATGGATGGATGGATGGATGGATGGATGGATGGATGGATGGATGGATGGATGGATGGATGGATGGATGGATGGATGGATGCTCTGCCTTTTCAACCTACTGTATTTTTTATTTTAAACATTATTTCATGGCCTTTGTGGCAGGGATGGAGATCCATATTTTATGTCACACACAGAGTATACATCTAGATAGATAGATGGATAGATAGATGTTGCAGTATCTATAACAACCCAAACACACAGGATTTCAGAATTAGACATCCCCAGTTATTAATTTCATATACTCACCAGATCTGAATGCCCTGTTAAAAAAACTTCACATCGCGTTCCCCCCGATGTCATTTACGTTGAGTTGCAATAAATGCAGGTTCTTGTCTTTGTCGTCCGCTCTATTCAGCTGGCTTTTGAAACACACGGCGAGAAGGTGGGGGCTGGGTGGTGAGGGTTACGGGGGCGAGAAACGCAAAAGTAACGCAATAGTTACTTTTACTAGTAACTAGTTAATTTTATTGAGGAGTAACTCAGTTAGTAACTCAGTTACTTTTTGGGAGAAGTAACTAGTAACTATAACTAATTACTTTTTCAAAGTAACGTGCCCAACACTGCCAATACTTGACACACGCCTTGAAGCCTCGGCTCATCTCATAACATCACTACTTTTTATTATTAAACATTCAAGTAACCACCTCAAGCTTTTGTCTGCGTTTGGGTCCTGTCGAACCACATCCATTGTGACAGTACAAAGCGGCCAGAAATTGACCCAGCAGACTTGGATTTAGTTTTGGGCACCAGAGAGAGACAGCTAAATAAACGGGAGGAGCAGATGGAATTGTTGCAAATAGAGATGACACAACTGGATGCACTGCGGGGAAAGTTCAAGCTAACATTTATAGAAAAAAAATCACCTTTCTTGTCGATCAGTTGCAGAAATTACAGAGCTCACCTGGTCAGCCTACTGTTTGACTCCCTCCACCACCAAACCTGGTCAGTTTTTCTTCTCATCTCAGAGTTCCTTCTCCAGGTTTAGACCCCTCTAGTGTCCCCTCTCTAGCCCCAGGTCCCTCTAGTGTCCCCTTTCTAGCCTCAGCTCCCTCTACTGTCCCCTTTCTAGGCTCAGGTCCCTCTAGTTTCCCTTCTCCCCTCTCAGGTCCCTCTAGTGTTCCCTCTCTATTCTCAGACCCTTCTGTTGTCCCCTCTCCAGTCTCAGGCCCTCTGGTGTTCCCTTTCTAGTACACTCTGTCTCCTCTCTAGTGCCCTCTGGTGTCCCCTCTCCAGAGTCCCCTGAGCTCGCTAATGAACTGGTCCCTGACTTTAAGCTCAGTGAGAGTTTGTCCTCCAGGCCCCTCAGTGGACACTACTTACCTCTTTGTCATGGGTCCCCAAGGTTCGTGTGCTGCAGTCGGTGGCCCCCAAGGTTCGTGTGCTGCAGTTGGTGGCCCCCAAGGTTTGTGTGCCGCAGTCCTGCAGCAGAGAAACTGTCCTCGTGGCCATCCTCCAGAGGTCATCCTTCGTCTCCGGCCTCAGGGCTGGCCTCCATGGACAAACAGTAGTACATCAGACCACAGAGACACCCAGAAATGTAGACCATGAGGCAGCTAAGACTTAAATTGAACCAGAAACTGTTGAATAATTCCAGTAGTGCAGTTAGGAACATGAATACTGCGAGCAAGAGCTCCACCACACCTGTGATGTACACAATTGTAATTCAAAGGAGTTGAAAAATCAGAAGTTTTGTGTACATTCAATTGCAAAAAAACGGAAGGTTGTTAAAAGCTTTGTTTCAAAAAAAATAATGTTGACAAAAAAAAAGTAGGGAATGTTCTTAAGACGGCTGCAGGTGGCTTTAGCAAAAGTCTTTTTAATCTAGCCCCATAGGGACTGTTCCTTCATCATTCCTCATTCTCCCTTGGTTCCGGCGCAGATATCGGTCAGCTGCCACCATCTTTCCATGTTCCAGTGCTCTTTACCTGACAGGCTTCTCTGATCTACCACCGTCCTTCAATCTCCTAATGTTAGCCTCCAGAGTCCCGGCTAGCCGCCACTTCTCCTTGCTCTGGTGCTTTCTCTGCCTCTGTTTTTAAAATAAATATAGCAAGTCTTAGGTATCCCTTTACTGATCATTTGGTCAAATTCAATCCACTTTGTTATATAGCAGATTTAACAACAAATAATGTGTCCAATGTGCTGTACATAAAAACACACAAAAACGGAGTAAGATTTTAAAAATAATAAATAAATAAAAAGGACAGAGAGGACCACACAATTATGTGGTGTTAAAAGCCAAAGAGTAAAAGTGTGTCAAGAAGAGACTTTGAACTCTCAACTGTGGAGGTCGTTCATATGGGCCAACTACAGAAAACGCTCTGTCCCCTCTGGTTTTTAGCCTCGTCTTAGGCACTATTAGACAAAAATGGACCTCAGACCTAGAAATAAAAGAGTGTAAAACTTGTTCAAAAAGATTAAAAGATAAAAATGGTTTAATCTTAAATAAAAGATGGAGACGATAAAAACACAATTTTAAAGTGCCATTTCTTTGTCCAGTTTAAAATCGCTGTCTATGGTGACACCAAGGCTGATTACTTTGAAATGTACAAAATCATTGCAAGGTCTCAAGTCATAGATGGTACTGTCACACACTATAACCTCTGTCTTCTTCTCATATAGTTTCAGAAAATATTTTGATAACCAGGCCTTGACATCACCCAGACAGTCAAGTAGGGGTGTCAGGGGCAGTTACTGTTTTTAGCAATTGGCAAATAAACTTGACAATGATGTGCATAGAAATGGTACGCTTTACCATATTTAGTAAAAATCTCTTTGAGAGGAAGGAGGTTTAGCACAAACAATAAAGGTCCCAGGATAGAACCCTGAAGTAAAGGGGGGCCGACGATGACTTGGAGTCCCCAAGCCTGACAGAGAAAGACCTTGCTGACAGTAAGATCTAAAAGCACTAAAATGGCTGAACTGCCAGAATCAGTTCAAACCAAGTCAATAAAAACTTTTAACAGTGCTGATTCAGTACTGTGAATTTTTTGTACTCTGACTGATAAGGAACTAAAAAATAAGGTACAAAATGAATAAAAAAAATCTTCGGAGATCAAAGATGGAATTTTCTGTCTTTTTAAAATGTTTCATAATTGCTCACATTTTTAGTAATGCTGGTAGAGTAGATAGCAATCTAAATAAAATAAGTGTTTACCGGCTGAATGCTGCTTACCTATTTCTGGAATCCACTTTTTATTTAGTACTTATTCCAAAATAACACACACACTGAATTATCTGACTCTTCTGACAATCAAACCAGTCAGGGATGCATCCTCTTTCTGCTCAGTACTCAACTCTTGCTATGAGATAATTAAAACAGATACTTAAGTAGGTGAAAATTCTAATCAGAAAGCATGCTTGACACAGCCTGTGACATGGTTGTGGTAACAGCTCAAAAAGTAAAAACCCCTGGAAGGTTCTGCTCTGGCATCCTGTTTCATCTGTAACATTGACAGGATCTTCAAACCCAGAAATCTGTCACCAGCTAAATCATTTTCCAGAATTAGATCGGCCTTATGTCAGAAGATCTGGCCGAACTGGTATACTGATGTAACCTTTAACAAAACAGTCCCGCAAAACTTTTATGCAAAAGAACACTCAGTGGAACCAAATGAATGCCTCTGATCAGTGGCAGAAAAAGTGGGCATGCACAATATTTCTTTGTCAATCTATCAATATTATAGTACTGTATAGTACATGTACCTGTACCTCAATATTAGGTGCAGCCACTGTTTGTAAGATGATAGGTAATTTTTGCCTTGTAATATTAAAGGGGGAGACCAGGGATCTCCTTTCTATATAAAAAGCACATAGATTCTAGAACTGTCTGGAATTCATTTGACAAATATTGTTTTAATGTTATGAAAATATATCTATCGTTAAACTTTGTTTTTGTAAACACTTGTCAATTTTTTTAATAGCTCAAACCAATATGGTTTAAAGGTGATAAGTTTACTTTTAGTTGATATGATTAGCATGTATCAAGGTCACCTAGATAAGCCGGGGCATGAGGTTTTATCAGCTGTTGCCACTGTCCCCATTCATATAAAACAGATCAAATAACAGTATTTCAAAACTTTTTACATTAGTTTTTCATTTCAGTAAAAAATACAATGTTCGCTTCCACAGGGGTGGGTCACAGAGGCACCAGTCGGAGCAGAATACCCTCTCACCAGACATGTCCTCCAGCTCTTCTGGGGGAGGCCTGAGGCACTCCCACGCTAGCCAGGAAATATAGTCCCTTTACTGTGTCCCAGGCTGTCCCCTGGACCTCCACCCGGTGACATGTGTGTTAGGTTTATTCAATGATGATTATTAAAGTAATGTGTGTTCATATGAAACATTGTAGGAATGAGATGCTCCACTCCTGTCTCATGATTCAGTCAGGAGACCACCCTGCCTTGTCATTCTAGTGGAGCATCCTGTTTTATGAACTGATCAATTGTTCTGTCAGAACAATACATCGTTTGTAACCATGTGTCATGTTCTGTTTATAAAACGCTCTGCGGAGGAGGTCCGGTGGGAGACAGTGTGTTTGAGTCTGGGGTTCAACTGTCTCTCCTTCTGCAGAAGTTGTATGAAAATCCATTACTGTGTATTTCAGTTCTTCTTTTACAAAACCTACATTTTTGAACCCACCGATGTGCTTCAAATACCTACTGAGGGAGGCAACAAGGTGGCATCGGTGAAAGATAAGCGATCCTTCTCAGCTGACTTCTCAATGTAGAGGAGAAATAACTCTAATCTGAGCCTTTTCCCAGATGACTGAGCACCTCAGCCATATCTACGGGAGTGTCACAGTGGGCTTTAAAGATCGTACCCACATGCAGAGAACCACTTAGAGACCAAGGGTAAAAGTTTAACAGCTTTATTGTAGGTCAGCAAACACTGATGGAGATTGAAACTCTGTGAGGAAACAATGCTGGAACTCAGCGGACTGGTGAACCGGAACTGGAAAGTCTGAAGGGGAGATCACAGTGATCAGTTCAGGGACAGTGGGAAAATAGACTGAGGCTTGAATATTGCTGGAGGGGCACTCACTTTTGGGGGGCTCTTGGTTTATCCTTGGATCCAGTTTGTGGGGGTTTAACCCAGAGAAGAGGGAACTCGTTGGAGAGCGGACAGGCAGACCAACATTGGACCCAGAGGAGTAAAGGAGCGGACTGTCACTTGGTTTTCCATGAGTGGACTTGAATGGATCATGTGAAGGTTTTCCCCTTGCCCAGTAAGACTCAGTAAATCCTTCTAGGGGTAGAAGGTCTAGGCTTATCCAGTAACACAGGAAGTCTTCCTGCTGAAGAACAAAGACAAAAAACAAGTTCAGACTCAGAGAAACAATGCTAAGGTTAACCTCTGCTAATCTAAGTTTGGCTAGAGTACCCAGTACTGGCAAACACTCTGGCGTCGAGGTAGTAACAGCCCGCTGCTCAAATACTCCTCTGGTAATGACCCAACGAGCCGCAGATATGCAGGGAAGCCTAACGAGGACAAGGCACCGCCTGGTGGTGGAGAGAGGAAAACACAAAAAACAAGCAACACAAACTGGAATCCTAACAGGGAGTGCCCAGCCACTCATTTCAGCATTTTATATCCTGGATCTCATTCTTTTGGTCATGATCCAGAGTTCATAACCATAGGTAAAGGTAGGAATGCAGACTGACCTGTGAATCGAGAGCTTGGCCTTTTTACTCAGAGACTCAGAGAATAGCATCAATTTTCCAGTGGCAGTCGCACAGATCCATCTGTTGATCTCCTTCTCCATTCTTTTCTCAATAATGACCAGTTCCAGAACCATAGCCTCAGACTTGGAGGAGCTGATCATCATCCTGTGTCATTGCACTTGGCCGTGAACTGCCCCAGTGCATGCTGCAGGTCTTTACAAAAGAACCGCATTGTCCGAAAAAAAATCAGGGCTGGTCCCAAAAAAAGACCCTCTCATCCCCTTGGCTGTTCCTGGAAAACCTGTCTGTATGAACAGGACCAGTAACAAAGGGCAGCCCTGGCAGAGTCCATCATGCACAGGGAGCAGTTGATGCCAGCAATGTGGACCAAACTCCTGCTGCACTTGTACAGCCCAAAGTAAAAAGCTCCCAGCTCCATTCCTCTGCAACGCCCCAACAAGGCACCAAAAGGAACACAGTCAAATTCTTTCTCCAGGCCCACCACAGGTCAACAACGACAGACCAAAAACATCTAGAGACCTTAGGTGTGCAATATGTGATAGTAGTAGGAGTAAACTGGACTGCTTGAGCCTTCCCTGTAAAGACTGGCTGTAGCATAACCACCTGTTCTGCTTTGGAAAAATTATGTGGGATAAATCAAGTGTAAACTTTTTGGGGGATAACTGGTCTAAATTGGAGAGCCGCCATTAATCCCACTTTGGGCGGTGAAGCTCGTCTTTATAGAAATTTGGAAATTTGAAGTTATTTGTCATACAAAATGTTGAAAGCCAAAGTTAAAAAAAATGGAAGGAGAGTCGTAGTTCAACACATCTCAGTGTCATGATTCTGCCACTTCTAGACTTTAAGTACTGTTTAAGTTTTCTTTTTGAGTTTTCAGTTACAGTTTGATTTATGTAACTCTGTGTTTTCTGGATCATTGGTTTCATTTCCTTTTTGTGTCACTCTAGTTGTTTTTTGGTTTCTCTTAGTTTGCGATTCCTGAGTTTCTTTGATCAGTTCTGGATTATGGCGTCTTCATTAAATTTTGCAAGAATTCATTTCTGTCTCCCTTTGACCTCTTTCGACCTTGCTGTGCTGAGATATTGCATTGAAAAAGTAAAAGTAAAGCAACATTAAACATTTGTGTAGCACATTTCAGCAGCAAGGCAATGCAAAGTTCTTTACTCCATGACAAGATCAGAATATTATGTTGTATAGTCGTCAGAAACATTAAAATCTTCAATCAACAACAAAACATCAAACACAAAATCATAAAGATTAACAACCAGATACATATTATGAGACGGTCAATGTGTAATAAGAAATTTTCTTTAGAGCAGCTTTTCACCTGGATTTGTTGGGGACTCCTGCCATAAAATTGCTATTCCACAAATCTAGAAGAACCCCACACAATCCTATTTAGAGACCATTGGCACCACATACATACTCTGTGTGAGTTTTTTAATTTCATACTTTTAGAAAATACAGTACATGGGGATGACATAGTGGTCGCCTAAAACATTACAGAAACAATTTATGCGGTAGCACAATGAAAAATTAAAAAATAATGATCTGAATCTATGTGTTACAAAATACTTATACTTATTGTAGACATGAGATACATTTTAAGCCATATGTAGTATCTTATTAGATAGTACTGTACAATAAGAATAAAACAATATTAGTGGAAAAAAAACGTTATTGTTTTTATAAATTAGGGAAGATTAATCTATAAAAAGTTCTCATAAGTTTGTATGTGAGTAAAGCCAGTGAACAACCAAGGATGGACAGCTGAATCCTTATATGTACAAAATATGCAGGGATGTTGGGATCTACATTACACTCTTAAGAACAAGAGTCCTATTTTGTTTACAGTGACACAGTATTTTGCATTGTAATACGCATTTCATAGAATCTAAACCAAATAAAACAAATAACGTCAAAGTGTATTTTAAAGTTAAAATCGTTACATCAGATTCAGGGAAACTTTATTTTAAACACGTAAGACAACACGCTTCCACATGTAGGACAGTTAGATAAACAGACTGTCAAAGTGATGTAACTTGGCTCTACATGTACCACAAAGTAGGACACATAACCAATTTGGATATTTCACCAGAAAACCTGCTTTAAACCACTAAACATTTATAAATGATCACACCATAAGAGTGTAACAAAACTGCTGTATTTTCAAAATACAAACAGAGTTCACATATTTCTTTATTTTGCAGCAGAGTTCATATCTGAAGGCAAGTAAGAAAAAAATATTTATTTATTTATATTTTAGTTATAACAGCTAAATAAAGTCATTGGAAAAACTAATCAGCTTTGAACCTCAAAACGGCAGGCTTGAAAAAATCTCTTGTTTTTAAATCAGTACCTCTAACACAAAGTAATACAAAAACAAAGATTTGAAAGAATAGGACTTTAATTTTTTGACTTGCCATTCAAGGTTTCTGTATGATTTTGTTCCTCCACATGAAATGTATGTATTTAGATAGTAGTAGATCTATATTTTATATTTAGATAGAGGTAGATCTATGTAGAGGATGAAAAGTCACAGTTTGATGTTCAGAGCACTTCGCTCTCATTGTGCAGGATTACTAATGGTTCTTAGAATTTCTAAAAGTAGAATGAGAGGAAGATCTTTTAGTTATCAGGCTCCTCTCCTGTGGAACCAACTACTAGTTTCAGTCTGTCGGGCAGCCACCATGTCTACTTTTAAGGCAAGGCTCAAAATGCTCCTTTTTGACTAATCTTACAGTTAGAGTGGCGCAGGTTATCATGAGCTTTCTCGATAGTTATGCTGCTATAGGCTTAGATTGCTTGAGGACATAGGAACCACTTTTCATCATTGTATCTCGATTCTCATATTGTCCTATTTGGCTGTGACATCATCCTGGAGAAAAATATCAACTGGGCTGCTGCCGTCAACATATAGATGATCGAGTTGGGCTTTTTTTTCAGTACTTAGTTGTGTTTATTTTACAGACGTAGCTGTGGTCTCAGCTTTTACTGGGACTAACTCTACATGCTATCTTTCATACCTTTCATATGCAAACTGGCTCAGAGATTGTCTGCTTAATTGCATCCTTCCTAGAATGAGTTACTTGTGAGGCTCAGGCCCCGTCCACACGAAGTCAAAACGAACACGAAACGCTGATATTTTCCAAAACGTTTGCCGTAAAGACGGAGACGTAAAATAAATGTGAGCGTCCACAGGAATGCATGAAAACGCTGCAAAATGTATGCCAGGCCTGTAAGTGGCGCTGTTCTGCCAAAGCAAAAATAAGCGACGAAATGTTGGGCATGCGCACTAATATTTATACATGGTTGCCCTGCGGGTCCATTTTCGTGGTTAAGTCAAATTCAGGTGATGAACTATGTCGTCGATATTGCTCTGTTCTTCCTGGAGATATTCCAGAAGAGGAAGATTCTGTTGTAAGCCCGACAGCAGGGTGAGTAGCATTAGCAGCAACGGCGCCATTGTTGTTGTGATACTGGTCGCGCATGCGTGTTTAGAGGCGACGCTATGACGCATGCGTGTAAAAAAAAATATGTGGTTAGAGCGTAAAGATGGAAACGCGAAAACGGCGTTTCGAAATCTTCCCACTCTGAAGGCTGAATAAAAAAAAGATCGTTTACAGACCCCCGAAACGCCGGCTTCGTGTGGATGAGAGGCTGGTTTGGTGAAAAATTTGTGCGTTTAGGCCAGGGTTCGTCTTCGTGTGGACGGGGCCTCAGTTACCCTCACCTTTTTAACATAGAAAGTATTTATAGTTCAGTGGTTCTATGTTCCTCTTTTATGTTTGCTTCTCCTTGAACCCCAGTCAGCCCCTACAAAAGGCCAAGCACACTGAGCCCCGTTTTGCTGGAGGTTTCTTCCAGTTAGTTTTTTCTCTCTACTGTTGCTGCATGCATGCTTGCTTTGAGTCAACAAAATGCAAGCAAATATCTACTGACTGGGCATGCTCATCAAGGAGAAGCAAATTCGGCAAAATTAATGAATTGATGCAAGCTGTTTTTCCATATATATATATATATATATATATATATATATATATATATATATATCTGACACTATGATCCGATCGAACTGTCACTGTTAAGGTGATTGAAATTACATGTGTTGTTATCTGGTACTATTTATATGAACTGAATTGATTTAAATAAAATTAGAAATGTATAAATTGCTGTCTTGGTCATCTTTACAGGCTGCAAACTGGCTTAATTTAACATCAGGTGTTTTTTTTTTCTCTTTCTCCTCCTCGTGGGTTGCATTGTAGGCTCTTAAAGCTGAGATGTTCTCATAAACAGGATTCAGGTCAGGCTAGCATAGGAGAGAAAATTACATAATAAAAAAATATACATCAAAATATATCTCACGGTATGAAATTATTTTCTCTATTTTTTGCACTACCTCCCAAACTATTATTTTAGCGCAACTGTTATTAATTTATTACCAATGTGCTATTTTAAGTTTTAATCACACTAAAGTACAATGAACTAGACTTTCACTCTTGTTTTGAAAACATAATTTACCTCTTCTTTGAAAAGCTTTTTTTCAGTTTGTGGTTGGAAGGAAAAAATGTAGAGATTTTAATCAGAACTGGAGACTTCATATCAAACTGGTAGAAAATCATTCCAAGATTTAACAAGCCTCAAGACAAGGTCATAAAAAAATCTACAGACAGATAGGTATGCCATGGAATCCAAAGTTACACCAATTGGGGCAATTACTTAGATGGAGGAAGCTGAGAGAAAAGTTTGAACTTCTACAAGGGCCACTAGTCTTACACATATAGAGCTGGTAAAATAAGCAATGAACTCACCACCATGTTTCTCAGTAAATATATTTCTAGACTTGCTATTGACATGACATTTCCCCCAGATGGCGGTACCAATCGATGCAATCCACACATACAAACTAATCAAACCATAGATGTCCAGAAATTAAGTTATGTGGAATAAAGTGAAAGTGACTTATTGAAATGTATTTAATACTTTATACAAAAGCCTTTGTTCGCAATGACAGCTTTAAGTCGCCTCCTGTATTAAGTAGTTTGTTGCATGCATTGCTCAGGTGGGATTTTGACCCATTCTTCTACATAAACAGTCTTCAAGTACTTAAGGTTTTTTGGGCCTTGTCTATGAACTCTGATCTTTACTTTTCATAGATTTTCTATTGGATTAAAGTCAGGTGATTGGCTGGGCCATTCTAGCAGCTTTATTTTCTTTCTCTGAAACCATTTGAGAGTTTCCTTGGCTGTGTGTTTGGGTCATTGTCTTCCTGAAATGTCCACCGATTTTTCATCCTCATCATCTTGGTAGATGGCAACAGATTTTTATCATGAATGTCTCTGCACATTTTTCCATTCATCCTTCCTTCAATTATTTGAATTTTGTCATATGATGAAAACAGCCCAAAACCATGATGTTCCCACCTCCAAACTTCACTGTTGGTATGGTGTTTTTGGGGTGATGTACAGTGCCAATTGACCTCTAAATATGATGTGTATTATGACATCCAAAGAGTTCAATTTTCTTATCTGACCAGACTATATATACACAGTATTTCACAGGCTTGACTAAAAGATGTGCAGCAAACTTTGAATGAGCTTCAACATGCTTTTTCTTCAGCAATGGAATCTTCTGTGGTGAGTGTGCATACAGCATGGTGGTTGAGTGCATTGTTTCTTCTTTAAAACAATTGTACCTGCTGATTCCAGGTCTTTCTGAAGCTCTCGACAAGTGGTCTTTGGCTGTTGGACATCTATTCTGATAATTATTGTTACTCCTTTGTCAGAAATCTTGTGAGAAGCACCTGGTCGTGGTCGGTTTCGAAATCCTTCTGTAACCAATTCCATCATAATGATTTGCAACAATGAGGTTGCAAAAGTCTTGAGAAAGCTCTTTACTTTTACCCATTATGAGATGTTTCTTGTTTGATACCAGAGACACCTTTTTATAGGCCATCATTTGGGACTGAACGAGCTGATATTAATTTGCACTGAGAAGAGCAGGATTGCTTTCTAATTACTGAGAGATTTCGGCTGGTGTCTTGGCTTTCCATACCTTTTTCCACCTCCCTTTCTTCACATGTTCCATACTTTTTCTCTGCAACATTCCACATTAAATTAATTTCTGGACATCTAGGGTTCGATTTTTTTAGTAAGTTTGGATTGCACTGCTTGTTAATGACATCTGGTAAAAATGTCATGTCAATAGCACCTCTGTAAATATAGGTACTGATAAAAATGGTGGCATGTTCAATACTTATTTTACCCGCTGTATGTGTATGACACCCTGGTCAAAATCAAAGCCAAGGAATCCTTTCCCGAACACATAAACACACTGAACAAATTTATGTTCCAAAAAACGATACCAAAGAGAACAAGCTGCCTTTTATTTACTGCCTAGCTTTGATATTGTTGAGTGTGATAATCTTATTAGTACGGTGGATGACAGCTGCAAATGAGCAGTAAACGAAGAAACATGTTGTAAAATGATGATACAAACTCCAAAAGAAAAACACCACAAACAAAAAGAAATGAGCTGCAAACTGTTGAAAAGGTGCATCAAACTGCAAAATGAGTTGCTTTATCAACACTTTAAGCTTTTACACGAGATTAAAAAAAAAATGTTGGAAGAATAAAGGAGAGGCTAGTTATCTTTCATTTTATTACCAAACCCATATTCTTACAGTATTACATATTTTATAGAGAGTTTGCCGCTTTTACTATTTGCATAATTTTCTGTCTGTGATTACACCATTTTCTTTTTTCTTGCAGCATTTTGTTTGTGGCTGATGCTCTTTTTTGTTTGCATTTGTTTTGTTGATTGCAGGTTTTTGTTTCTATTTGTAGTAATTTCAGCACATTTTTTTTTGTTTTGTTGCATGGATTTCAGACATTGCATCATAAATGTATCTGCAGCTCATTTTGCCATTTGCTGCATGTTTTCACTTGTTTGCAGCCTATTTTTTGTTTTTGTTTACAGAGTTCTTATTTCGAATTTGTGTTTTTGTGCTTGTTTGTATTGAAGTTGACATCAAACATGTTTTTGCAGCTCATTTTGTTGTTTACTGCTCATTTGGACCTGTCACCCACCATATACTAGTATGATTGTTGTGATTCTTTATAAGCATGTTTCTTCCCATCATTTTCAGAACTGGAGAAGTCCTTAGAATGAGAGCTACAGTATCTTAAAGGAGCAAGAGAAGAGATCATGTTGTCTTCTACTTTAGCACTTTTGATGATAATTTTCTGGATCATTGTGACTTACACCAGCAGTCATGCAACAGCTTCGCTTTAATTATATATAATAAGAATTATGTTTGATCAAATTGATTTCTTACCTTGATATTGTGTTGATGTTTCTTTAACTTAGCTTTTAGGTTACTTCCTTTCAGCTTCCTGAATTTAGTTAATTTCAGAATATGAAAAAAATTACATTAATGTTCTTAATATTTGGAAACTATAAATAAAGTGGCAGTGGAGCTTTTTCTTTTGTCCGATCTTACCTCTTGAAAAGAAAAATACCAAACAGAAGAATCAGCAACAACAGTGTAGCCACAGCCAGTTTTGCGATATTCATTATCTTGAAATGCATCCCTACAAGAAAGAAGACAAATATTTTAATGGAAAATGGGCAAAAAAAATCTTCTCATATATCTGATTTTATCTACATTTTTTGCTAAAGTGTATAAAATATGCAGTTTATGTTAAAATGTTATACATAAGAGACTTTCAAATGGGACATCTTGCGCTCCACAAAATTACAGTGAAAGTAACTGAAAATTACAAACAAGTTTGAAATACAAACTAAACAAAACCACAAATGGAATCAACGTACGAGTGTAAAACCTAGCACTCAGTGTGCTAAACGATTTTAAATAGAAAATCTCATCCACTTGTTGTTTATACTCATCTTAAAGACCTATAGTGAAGAACTGGAGCCAAAAGCTAATTTAAAAAGCTAGACACTGGCTAGAAGGAACAAAACTGAACAGAACAGAACTCCCCATCTCCATCTATTAGAGTGTATTCTGAGAATCACTATCTTGTTCTTGTTAGTCATCTTATTGCCTTCACTAAATTCCCGTCAGCCTTTTTTATTGAATTCCATCTGAAATGACCTCTGACTGTGGTCCAAATTTAATTTGATAAGTTTGAAAAGAGTTCTGTAATAATTTGGAAGCTAAACCTTGTCTTGACTTGTCACTGCTCTCTACTCTAGCAGAGCTTTGTGGCAATGGAGCTTTACAGTAAGAGACCAACTAGCTCTTGGTATAAAAGACAAGGGAACAGCTAAAGATGGATTCAGAACTGACCCTAGAAAACAAGGTCATCCATATTTGCCAGCAGTGTTGTGCATGAACCCGATCAATGAATGGAATTCACTGAATACATTCCCATTTTCAGTGAACAGTGAACTGAACGACCCATTTTTAAGTAATGAACGTTAACTCTGAGAAACGTGGGTGATACACACAGCTCACCTTTGCGTTCAATTGGTAACAACACTTTTCATTGAATAACATCTGGTTTCACAGCAATGTTTACAGCAAACAGCATGACAGACTAGCGTGTCTACTGCTAGTACAATAAGCTACTGGTATTTCTAATGCCAGTTTTGCAGAGTGCTTGCAGAGTTTTATGAACTTAAGCCCATGTCACACCTTGACGATTTAGTCAGCGTATTACGGAAACTCTGGCAAAAACGCTGGCATACGTTCGATAAGTTATGGGTTCATTTTGTATAAGTTATGAGCATGCTGAATTATGCTGAAACACACTGAAACACGTCGACATACGGCAAATACGGCAGCATATGCTCATACTTGGGCCATAAGTTACAGGTAATTTATCTGATCTTTGACACACAGTAAGTGTAAGTTACTCATAAGTCTTAGTGTCTAGCCTGTCCAAAACCTATGAGTAACTTGTGCATAACTTATGCGTAACTTATCAGGAACTTATCTCCAACGCATATCAACTATTTGACGTGTTCAGGACGACCACTAACTTGCAGCAACTGTATAATGGTGTATTGGCAGGGTTTTGGTATAAAAGGGGGTTCATAGGAGGAAACTGTCTGTACTTTTCCAGACTTCATCCCCATCATAGGGTGAGCGTGAAGGTGAGTGTGATGGTTCTCTCCCCTGCATTCACGCCCAAAACCACAACCAAAAAACGTCCTAGCTGACATTACGCTGAATCTGCTGAGGCTGCAATCCTTTATTCTTTCTTTTTATTAATTCATTTAATTATTTATTTTGGCTGGAGCCAAACAGCAGCTAGGTTGATACCACAATCAAAGAAATCTTTTTATGCAGGTCGGCGCCTCAGGCACATTGCTACTCGCCTGAGGACACTGGCTTGTGTGTTGTGCATAAGTAAGGCTGTCGTTGGACATAACTTCTGGACTCGTTATGAAAACACCAAAAATGCCCAAAATAAAAATAAAAAAATACCTAGAAATTTCAGCATGTCAGGTTTGTTCTGCAAGAAAGTTGTCATCAAATTTAGTCTGGTTATGGGGAAAACATTAGTTGACCTCATGGTGCTATAGTTGAGGAATTAGCAATTAAAAGCTCAAAGATAATTGAGAAAAAAGTGAAAAAAATAAAAATAAAATAACACCCCAAACTGTTGTTACTATGGTCGGCTTCAGCAATAGAGCTAGTTCAAAGGTTCAAGCCCCTCTCTAGTTGACTGAAAACCTGAATTGTTCCCAAAAAGGACAGTTTTTGGTTTATCAAAACCCTTCCTGCTGGTTTGTATTTATATAGCTTTGTAGTTTTAACCTATTTCTATTAAATCTAATCAAGGTAATGGGAGTATTATCTTGTATAGGTCAAGTCAACAACTACTCATTATTTCCAAACAAAATCCAACTTCAAAAAAAATATAACTTCAGCTCAGAATGCTGAAGTGAACAGGGTGCTTTATTCAACTTACTTTCAGCAACAGTAAAATGTATAGAAGATTTGAGACTTCCTCTCCTGTTGTGGGCTTCACAGTGATAAAGCCCACTGTGTTGTTGTCCTATATCTGCAATGGTGAAGTTTTGTCTTGAATACTGTGGCCATTTTTCATTTTCTTTAAACCAGCTGTAATTAGCTACAGGGTTGGCATCACTGCTGCAGGTCAGTGTCAATGACATGCCCTCCACAATGTCACCAGAGGGAACCAAAGACACCACAGGAAGCCTTGGAGCATCTGAAGGAATCAAGAAATAAGGATCATATGAGGAGATTTGTATCAAATAGTAACGATGCTTCTTTTAAATTCTTTATTTTCGGATACTGTAAAAATGTCTGACTCCTGCGGTCATGGCAGTAAGGCCAGTTTATGCATAAACTTTGGCATCAACTTATTATTAGTAATGATCAAACTAGGGGCTAGGGTAGTTTCTTAGTTCAGCTGTTGTTTAAAACTAAATGACAAAAAAAAACTATGTGTGTTTGTATTACACATAACATGCTCTTCTCAGCAATGAGCTAAAAAAAAAAACAATATTAAAAATTCTTTGTCCTTAAAGTGTGTCAGAGACTTGCATCTTTAAAGGTACCCTGGCCAGCCTGACTGACTTAAACTGAGCCTAAGTCAATCTGGGTGTTTTACCTAAACAAAGACACAACACAAAAAAAAAAAAAAGAGAAGAACAAAAAAAAAAAAAAAAAAAAACAGGGTTTGTTTCAAGGAAACTTACATTCTACATCCAATATGATATCCTCTGATGTCATGTTTAGCACATTTTCAGCTTTGCAGGAATATTTTCCAGAGTCAGAGGACTGAACTGATTTGAAAACAAGCTTTGACTCTTTGCTGCGTGGATCTGGTTCATCCTCCTTGTACCATTTGTAGGTAGCAGGTGGATTAGCATCACTGTTGCAAACCAAAGTCACAGAGCTTCCCTCCACCACCTCCCCTAGTGGATGATGTGAAACAGTCGGGGGCCTTGGTCCATCTGGGAGAGAAAATACACTTTAGGAACTGGATAGTCTCTGTCAACTTAATTAGCTGTACTAGTTAGCACCTATAACCTAAGTTTTTGGAAAAAGGAAACTAGTATCTAAATGGGTACAAAATCTTTCAGGGGCAACAAAACATATTTTGTTACTCCTGAAAAGTATATTTATTTCTTGCTCTATATGGTACACATTGTTTTTTTAATGTTTCCATTTGAGATAAGGATGCTGTTTATAGTTAACTAAAATGCTTGTTCTCTAAGAGCTTCCGCATTAAAAACAGGATCAGGATAATTCCTCTTGTATTTGATGTATTTGGACCAAAATTCACAGGGAACATTCCTATATATGTTCAACCTCCTGGAAGTTCAGCATACTGAGGATGATTAGCTGAAAGTAACAATTTTGTAATTAAGTTATGTTTTTACAATTTTGTATTTGTAAGCTTAAATTCATTCCTTTATAACTCAACCTTTTTTATTACAAACCATGGCTGATGTTGAGCAGGCATAAGATGTAAAACTGATTAACCCTTCCCGAAAAAAGAAAACAAAAAAACTGAATCAAACTGAAGAGTTATACAAGTTCAAACCACTTTTGAAATAAAAATTAAATACATTTTTATGACATTTTCTTCTTATTGATCTGCCAACATTAAAATTGTTTGTGGTTCGAGGCAATACTGTAAAAGAAACTGACACACTGATGGAGAGGGGAACTTCTCATATCCTTTTGCAGCACATGAAATGCGCTCCGTATCACAGAATGTGTATTGAAAAAATGAGGAGGTCCCCGCCAAAGTTTCATTCCCGTTCTTAATCCAGATGTAGGGATGTTGATCAGGTAGACAACTGCTGTTGCATTTCATCTGCGTCCAAATATAATTCTGTCTGCGCTCTGATTTGATCACATGCAGCTTGAGACCTAAATACAAGATAGCATCACAAGAATTAAATGTATGTAAACCCTAACAGTTAAATCATTAAATTGAAATGAGAAATATTACCAGAGACAGACAAGCTAACCCCTGGAACGGCAGTATATGATCCCTGATGGTAATTTGTTTTAAGACTTATCTTGTAGAAAGCTGAGTCCGTTTCTCTAATATCCCTGATTCTCACAGTGCAGCCATTTCTGTACTCAACCCGACCTGCATAGTTTTGGTCCTTTCTCAGATCTACAGGAGCAGCATTTGTCCCTTTGGTAAACCATTGTATGTTTTGAACCACTATAACTGTATCATTTATTTTGGGTGGATATGTGCATTTTAATTCCACTGTTGAGCCCTTTATGGCACAGATCTGTGAGGGAGAGTAAGTCACGCTCCAGCCCCCCTGACCTTGAAGCCCTGCAGTAGATCAGAGAAAAGAATAGGTAAAATCAATAGGACAAAAATCAACACATGAATTTACAACACAGGAAGAATATTTTTTTCTGTTTCACAAATTCGTCTGAGATATTTTTGTCATAGAAATGTTTTTGTCCCTGTACAGTAAAACAATGCAAGAAACAAACAAAAAAAACCCACTCTTTTTTTTTTTTAGAGAATTGCTCCATTATTGCATCTTCCACATTGTCCAATATGCAAGAGTCATTATGTCATGTTTATCCTGTGTCTCAGTTTTGTGAAAGAGACGATTCAACAGCATCTTACAGTTCACTGCACCATCAAAAAAAAAACTATTTCTTCATAAAACAGATCAATGCCCTGTCTTTCCACAGCTGAAATCATAAAATTTGGTTTATTTTTAAAGACCCCTAAAAAATTGTAATATGTACTGGTGGATGGTACTGTAGATACAATCTATGTAAATAATGTAAATATCACATTTACATAGCAGCAAATCAAAAGACTATATTGAGTAAATCCTATCAACAACATACATTTGTTAACACTAACAAATGCAACAAAAAAGTATCCTTTAAAATGTACCCAAAGATATTGGGCCGTGCATTGCAGTGTTCATATGCACCAGGGAGAAAGAGCCCTGCTGCCCCATTTAGAACAAGAGTACTTTGCAAGAAGAAAACAGCGCAATGTTCAAAATTTGTTTGAAAACTCAACTGTTTTTATATTGTTTCCTTACACTCCTATTTTGATCTAGACTCACATTAATTGTATAGCACTGTTGGATATTTAGTGGACACAAAAATGCTTGTTGCTGTTTTCCAGCAAGAAGTTCCTGGGTTCAAATCCGAGGCTAAGGCCTTTCTGTATAGAGAAGTTATTATGGTTTAACTATTGTAATGTATTTAGTAATCTTAATTAGACAGACTTTACTGAACACATTTCACAAAATTTAAAAACAGTGTGAAATGTTACTTTCTCTTTTTTTGGTTAATTTTATTGATTGTTGTTTTTTTATGGTTAGTTCTGAGGTTCTTATTAGATAACCAGAAATGAATGATAAACAAGCCTTTCCTGTCCGTCCTTTTTTCTCTGTAAACAAGTATAGCGCTGTCTATGTAAAAAAAAAAAGGCAAGTAAAAACGGATATAAATCTTTCTCATTGTGAGCTTTCCCCCTTGACCTAAACAAGGTGAAGTCAAAGGTGTTGCTTGATGTGCAAACACATAGTCCACATCCGTTTTTATTGACGAAGAGAAAAGGGAAGTTTGTGGGGTGAGGTGCTTGTACAGCAATGCACTTTTTCTAAGAAAAGAAAGACAACATACGTGCCTAAATTCAACGTTTGAAGATTATCATGCTATTGGCATATTAAATCTTTCTTTCTGTCAAAAATTCAAACATAGCTACCTTTTCAGTACTTGGACCATATAACGATAAATATGCATTACTGAGTTCATGCAGATGCAGCAACTATTTTGCATTTAACCCTTTAAAGCCCGATCCAAGAATAAAACAAAACAGAAAATTACTTTTTTGGTTTGAAGTCCTTATTTGGCCTTTTAACAAAATATGTAAAAAGAAAGAAACAGAAATACATTTTTGATATTAACAATTTATTACTATGCGATAAGTCAAGATAATTTTTTGTGTAGTCTTCTGCCCTCTGTTATCAGGTAGGGGCCTATATCTGATTGTGTACAATAGGATTTTTAACAAAGTTTATACCATTAAATTATGCATAAGGTGTCAGAAACATGTCAGAAACTGTATGTATCAAATATGATACATTTGGCATTACAGGGTTAAGTTTCAATTTCACTTTCAGATTTTTCACCGTTTTCACAGGTTTTTGTGATAATGAAACTGGATCAGAAGTTTGAATACTCTGGTTTTGCACATTTGTAAAAAAAAAATAAATAAATACTCTATATTAATATAACTTTATCTACAAATTCTTATAACCATACTGTTTGTATTTGAGATTACTGTAACATTTCTAAATGTACAATTATTGCTTAATCAGTATGGTAGCACGGAATGATTATGAGTATGTGTATTTTTATCCTTCTACAAATTAAGCTTTTTTTTTTATATCTGACAGGGTAACAAACTCTTGCTCAGTTATCAAACATGCATCACTCATAATTTGCCCAGTTAGACATAAATACCTTTTGAATTTAACATTATGATTAATTGCGGTCCCCGTTTTCTTCATTTATCAGCATTTATCTCTAGTTCAGTTAATAATAAAAATTAGACATAAGCTCAAACATATATGTTCAAAGCATTTCCAAGATGCTGTGCAATAAAATATTATTAGATATTTTACCATCACATCTTCAGGAGATCTTTCTTCACCAAAATATAAACAGTTCTCTATTACGGAGAAAAATACTACACCTAAATTACAACTGCATTAGCATAGAAAATCCACTTTTATGACACTTTTGTATTTGTCAAATTGCATGCATTATCATTTCCCTCCTTTATGTAACAGACTGATACAAAAGAAGCAGATACATTACCTGGCAGAGAGAGGAATGCTAGAACAAACACGTTCATGACAGAAATCAAATAAATGGGTTTTTCTTCCATCTCTTTCTGTGGCCCTGCTGAACTAAAGACACGTCTTCAGAAAGAAGTTTACAAATGTGTCAGTCTTTAATACCGATAGCCCTCATCACTAAAAGAATCAAGTCGTGGTTTGAACCCAGCAGCTAAAATAGCCTTGGTTCCCCACAAGTTCACACCATCTGTATTAATGCTTAGGCCTGCAGTCTGCATTACACCGTAATGCAGGATTTTTATGTTCGTACATTTTGATTGCAGAGTTAGGCTCAGTTTCTTTTTTAACACCCAGTTAAATAAGTTAGAAGCAAAGCATCACTTTTTAGAAAAGATTTAATCTGATATAGTAACTTTTTCTCACCTGGTTGGAGGTGAAAGGTTTTAAAGAGGCCCAACAAGAATCATGACTATAATATGCAGATACTGTAGGGTGACTGCAAGGAGCTCTTCAACCAAAAGACTTGAAGTTCACTGAACAATAGTCTCTTTTGGTTAGTGGTTTGTTAGGGTCATCTTCATTTCAGAACCTCTTTTCTTTTTACTTTGGCAAAATATCTTTAAATGATTTGATACATTTAACCCAATTTTCTGAATGGCAGCCTTTATAATGTCAAATAAATATATTCATGCACACAGACAAGCAATACAAGGCAAGTTTATTTATATAGCACATTTCAGTGGCAATAAAACAGTGCTCTAGAAGAGAAAAAAAGCCATATTGTAATTGCATGGAGGCAACATAGAGTTGAAGAGAATAAAAGTGAAACATTAAAAAAAATGGATTATATATAATTTTTATCAATTTACCTAAATGTCATACATAATAAACATATTCATATATTTCATACAACATACAGTGGGGCAAAAAAGGATTTAGTCAGCCACCAATAGTGCAAGTTCTCCCACTTAAAAAGATGAGAGAGGCCGGTAATTTTCATCATAGATATACCGCAACTATGAGAGACAAAATAAGAAAAAAAAAATCCAGAAAATCACATTGTCTGATTTTTAAAGAATTTATTTGCAAAATATGGTGGAAAATAAGTATTTGGTCAGTTACAAACAAGCAAGATTTCTGGCTCTCACAGACCTGTAACTTCTTCCGTAAGAGGCTCCTCTGTCCTCCACTCGTTACCTTCATTAATGGCACCTGTTTGAACCCGTTATCAGTGTAAAAGACACCTGTCCACAACCTCAAACAGTCACACTCTAAACTCCACCATGGCCAAAACTAGAGAGCTGTCAAAGGACACCCGAAACAAAATTATAGCCCTGCACCAGGCTGGGAAGTCTGAATCTGCAATAGGTAAACAGCTTGGTGTGAAGAAATCAACTGTGGGATCAATTATTAGAAAATAGAAAACATACAAGACCACTGATAATCTTCCTCGATCTGGGGCTCCACGCAAGATCTCACCCCGTGGGGTCAAAATGATCACTAGAACGGTGAGTAAAAATCCCAGAACCACACGGGGGGACCTAGTGAATGACCTGCAGAGAGCTGGGACCAAAGTAATAAAGGCTACCATCAGTAACACACTACGCCGCCAGGGACTCAAATCCTGCAGTGCCAGACGTGTCCCCCTGCTTAAGCCAGTACATGTCAAGGCCCGTCTCAAGTTTGCTAGAGAGCATTTGGATGATCCAGACGATGACTGGGAGAATATCATATGGTCAGATGAAACCAAAATAGAACTTTTTGGTAAAAACTCTACTTGTCATGTTTGGAGGAGAGAGAATGCTGTGTTGCATCCGAAGAACACCATATCTACAGTGAAGCATGGGGGTGGAAACATCATGCTTTGGGGCTGTTTTTCTGCTAAGGGACCAGGACGACTGATCCGTGTGAAGGAAAGAATGAATGGGGCCATGTATCGTCAAATTTTGAGTAAAAACCTCCTTCCATCAGCAAGGGCATTGAAGATGAAACGTGGCTGGGTCTTTCAGCATTACAATGATCCCAAACACACCGCCCGGGTAACGAAGGAGTGGCTTCGTAAGAAGCATTTCAAGGTCCTGGAGGGGCCTAGCCAGTCTCCAGATCTCAACCCCATAGAAAATCTTTGGAGGGAGTTGAAAGTCCGTGTTGCTCAGCGACAGCCCCAGAACATCACTGCTCTAGAGGAGATCTGCATGGAGGAATCATGGCCAAAATACCAGCAACAGTGTGTGAAAACCTTGTGAAGACTTACAGAAAACGTTTGATCTCTGTCATTGCCAACAAAGGGTATATAACAAAGTATTGAGATGAACTTTTGTTATTGACCAAATACTTATTTTCCACCATATTTTGCAAATAAATTCTTTAAAAATCAGACAATGTGATTTTCTGGATTTTTTTTTTTCTCATTTTGTCTCTCATAGTTGAGGTATATCTATGATGAAAATTACCGGCCTCTCTCATCTTTTTAAGTGGGAGAACTTGAATAAATACTTTTTTGCCCCACTGTATTTCAAATTTTCTTTTAGATATTTTAATTTGGAAAATTTCTATAAATGCTCTCTATGATTAATAAATAATAAAAGAGCAACAGAATTAAATAAAATGTGATCTGAATCATTTACCGTATCTAAGAATTTCCTTATTCATATAGTACGAGAACTTAAATTCTTATTTCCGTCTCATGTTTGTTGTAAAGTACAGTACTTGTCAGAAGTGAGCAATGTGCACACGTTTTTTTTTTTTCTGAGGAACAACTGAAAACTTCAGCAAAACAAATAAAGGTTTTTCATTGAAGAAAGAGGATCAAAATAGGATGTATATGCATGAAAAAAAAAAAGTTTTTTTTTATAATGCGTTTCCACTATGTGAACAATGGAGAATGTCTTTGGAAGTTAATGACTAAGAATTACTGCACCTTTCCAGCAACCTCCTTAGCCACGGTGAAAAAAATTAAATTGACTATTTCTTTCTGGACCAACTTTAATCTTCATTGAAACAAACAGATTGTCAAGGTTCCCTGAAGGAAAAATATTAAAATATATACCTCTAAAATATATACCCCCTAAAATATAAACCCCTAAAAGCTTTCTTAAAAATGTTCTATACTTCAAAACAGCAGGGAATTGTCCGTTTTTTTTTTGTTGTTGTTTTTTCTGAGAAAAGGTTACAGTAATGTGATCTTATTAAAAGTCAATGTAAATTAATAGGCCAGATGTAGACATATACAAAGTCAAACAAAACCCCTGGAAATGTTCCTTTTTCATTCTGTTTAAGATGGTAAACAGTACATCACTAGTTATTCTGTATCAACACACCTGTAGAGTAAAAAACATTCTTATTTTAATAATTTCTGTGCTTTTAAGGGGTGCTGCCATTTTGGCATTTAGATAATACGCTTTCACTCAAACAGGGTTCCTACAGCATAAGGCAAGTTAAATTCAAGACTTTTTAATGCCACTTGAAATAAACATTTAAGACCAAATTCACAAGAAAAAACCTCTTGTGACAACTTAACCCAAAGGTTTATTTTAACATAAACCACTGCACCAATGTTTCAAATTTTGAAAAGCTTCCCATACAGGAAAAAAGCTAAAAACACACAAATGACAGATATATTTTAACAATTATTTAACTGAATTCACAAACTTTGTTTTAGCAGGGAACAAAACAAATCAGTTTTAAAGCCACAACATAACCAGTGCTAAGTCACTGTGCCTCATGTATGTTCCCTTGTACTGGTTTTAGGCATGGAGAAAACTCTTGGTTGGATAGCCAATTTTCGTTACATGTACACTTGCTCATATTTTCCAGACAAAAAGTTAATGGTACATCTCCCAAATGTCCGCTATAGGGACGGAACCAATAATGGCGAGCAGTTTTTTTAGTTTTTAATAATAAAAAATAAAAAAACTGTCAACTTTAACGTTTTATTTAGATTACAAAAATAAATCGTAATAAAAATAATCCTATTTATGATGTTTTAAAAAATAAGACCTAGAAAAGACTGATTTAAGACATTTTAATACCAATTAAGGTCTTAGTTTAATTTTTTTTTATTTAATGCCTTTTAAGACTTTTTAAGGACTTGCGGGACCCCTGTCAAATCACATGAAAATATCTGTTATGACATACCAACTGCGCCACGTCCCGGCGCAGTATACAAACATGCTAGTATAGTTTAATTCCACAAATAGTGAACAGATTTGTCACATTGCTTCATCTGAAACATTAATTAAAACTCCATTGATTAAAATCAGTAAACAAACATTAGAAAACTTCTTTTTGGTACTTCTTAAAGGCAACATTACAGTCAGTTTATGTATATTTTAATAATGTAGTGGCCTTCATGTGTTTAATTATTCAAAAGTTAAATGGAAATTCTGTCAATAAATGATATTAAAAGAGCAATTCTGTATGCAGACAGTGTAAGATCATATATATCATATATCACATAATTACAGACAATTTACAAACAACAGTTTTGTAAAGCGAGTTTATTATCCTTTATATATTGTACATTTCCATCTTTCATAAGATACAAAAATTGTTTGGTTGTTTATATTAGAAGCAAAGAAGACAAATAAGAGAATTCAAAGCAACCCCAACCTGCAGCAGGAACAAAGCTGTTAGGATAATTATCATTAATGATGTGCAAGTTTATTACAACTTAATATTAGCTGTCCTTTGCGTTTCAAAACTGATGTTTTTCCCAGTGGTTTATCTAATTAAGACAGATTCTCTTTCCGGATATACAGTTACAATCTTCATTCTGTACATGGCAAATATTTGGGAATAGATTGAGAGAGGTGTCCTTCAGCTAAGAACAAAGGGTAATATTTTGATATTATTTTGATAATATTTTGATAAGGCTGGAGCCATGGATGTCTCCTCATCTGCTAACATGTATGATGTAAAATGTGATGATGTGGCAGACTGGAGATGTATAAAATGCCTTTTTAACTGTTTATCTGGGTCACTTCCTGAGAGGTTAGCCCGGGGATATGCAACTGCCTTCTGTAATTCTAAGCAACTTCTCTGATTGTCGTTAGTGATCTCTTTTCAGGAAAAAGAACCTGAGAGAGAAAGCTTCAAGGTGTAGACACATAGAGCCTTTTAACAAAGTGCATTAAATTTCTAGTATAAAAAAAATTTGCTAGCAGAACAAACAATGCAAAAAACAAAAAGATTATAGTAGAGTATGGAAGATTAATAGTGGTTTTACTGTTTTTATCAGTTGCTTTTATTAAACAATATCATTCAGTTTTTCCTCAGAGGGATTCTTTTTGGCTGCTGCGTTCAGATGATCAAGCAAGTATCGGAGATCTCTGGTCATAGTGCTCCTCCTAGAGGGGAAAAAAATAACACATTTTAAAAATTAGAACTATTTTGTGTAATACGCAAAACTAATTCAAAGGTATTTAATTACTGTAGTACATACATTTAAATCTATTTGAATTCATTTTAACCGACCATCGCTGCAGCATCATGAATCTTCAGTTGAACTCAAAATGTTATGTTTATACATCTGCATGGTGGAAAAAAAGCTCAGATACATTTTTTGAGATGATGAGGTCTAAACTTCTGCTGTGTCAGGTAGAGTTTACACCCTTACACACTTTTTTAAATGTTGAATCAACACAGAGTCTGAACTGAACTGCTCTGCCGATTGAGGTCTTAGATGTTCCTATTCATATTTTCCCAGTATCCCTTAAATTCATTTATCTGACTGTGGTGCTGTTTCACACTAATAATGCAGAAACCTGCAAATGTATTTATCCAGTTTTAAAAATTCAGACATATCTGTCCCATTGCAACCACAACCTCTCATGTATTCTATTTTGGTTTTATACGACAAACTAACACAAACAGTGCATAATTGTAAAGGCTAAAGAAAAATGGCAACATGCTTCTGACAAATACAATTCTAAAAACAAAAGAAGTGAATGTGGTGGTTAAAGCTTTTAGTGTGCAGAGTTTAAAGAGTCAAAGTAGATGTTTATGGAAGTTCTGAATGTCTCTGCAACTCCGAGATGAAACTCAGGGTAAAAGGTTTCTACAATTTCAGAATCACTGATAAGTCTTTACACTTAAAAAAGGTGCCTTGTTAATCTTAACAGAAAAATAATTACTAGATCTGACAGGGAGTTTTTTTCCCAAATCAAAAAAATAGTAAATCTTTGCAGCTATATTTCTTTGTCGTCTGTTCTCTCCATTTTCCTTTCTCTCCCCCTGTATTACCAAAGTCTTAAAAACACTTGCAAATTGATCTTGCAGGATTATTGTTATATAAAAGTTTAAAGGAAATCCCAGCCAGTCTCCTGCAGCCCAAAGCCAAATCTGCAAAAGGCTGGTTTACATCAGGGGTTTAAAGCCTGCAGCTCTAGAGCTGCCAATGGCACTTTGAATCTTCAATAACGTTTTTCATAGGTTTGACTAAAAATGTTTTTCTAATATATAACAAAAAAGGCAGGCTGTAGCGAATTTTTTGTTTTTTTTTTTAATGAAAAAAATACTTCAACAGAATAATACCAAAAAGTAATAATTTTCTAGATTAGATTTTTTTGTCGTAAAGTTCAACAACTTTATATCCACCTTCTTTTTCTAAAATGTGATGTTTCTTATTTTGTTTTAAAATATATATTTTTTAAATTGTCTCTTTTATTACCAAAAATGTATTTTTTTATAAAAGAATGTTAAATGGTGGGGCTAAAGAGGTTAATTGGGCTGCACTTAGGGCAAAAATGGCTCTTTGGATTGTAAAGGCTGCAGATCCCTGATTTAGAATGGCCTAGTCAAAGTCCACACCCAAGTCCAACTCGGAACCAGAGGTAGGACTTAAAAATGGCATTTACAGTTGCTCTCCTTAAGGTTGAGATACTTTGCAAAGCGTGTGGACTTGCAGTTTAAATTGGAGCCAAATGTGCGCCAACAATGTATTGACTTAAAAAAAAATGCATGCCACAAAGTTATCACAATGTTAAATCTATTTTCTTTTATAGATTTAAATGAAAATGTTTTTAAAAATGGAGTAGAATCCTGTAAAACGTAAAAGCGTGTCAATAAGAACAGATGTGTTAGCAGACTTTTAGGAGGCTCTGTGACTTTACAGATGTCGGCAACATGTTAGATTCATTTGAACCAGGGATACAGAGAAAATACTTTACAATTAGTTTAATACTAATTGTATTTAAAAAAGATTCAGATCATTTATTTATCCGTCTGTGCAGCAGCTAGAGTCGTAAATGCTTCCTTTATTCCTAGTGACAAGGCTGAAAAATAGTCAGCACAGTAAGTAGTGGATAGTCGGTATGATAGCGATTGTGAAGTGTGGTGATCTGTAACACTGTTTACCATGAGGAAGTAATGCTTGCTGCTTCTGATGACTCTTCTAGAGAACACGCACACAGTGACAGAGACACAAACTTGCAGGACAAGCAGGACCAGGAAGAAGCCTAGGAGTCCGTAAATGGGCACCTAAAAGATAAAACAGCAAACATAAAGACGGATATGGAAAAATAAACAGCCAATGTTCAGGATGTGCACTCTTGCATTTACTTTTTAATCCCTAGAGGCTCCAAAAAAAGTTATGGAGGTTCCAGAAGGTCATAAGCATGCATAACCCACTGGTTGGGTATAATTTTTCTTTGTAACATAAAAGACTGTGTCGTTTGAAAGCAATAGGATTTAAAAATATGCAAATAACTAGGGATGCTCAAGGAGAGCTGAGAATATTTATTGATCACTGTAGATTTACACACAATGCATGACTTTAGAAGCAAATTTAAAACCTATTCAGATTCCTAATCATGAATTCAAACAATTCAATACATTCACAACTTGTTCAGGTGTATCTTGCCAATAAAAAGCTAAGAAAGCTCCACAAGCAACACATTTAAGATGAACTAGGATCTGCAACAGTCATCCGGGATGAACCAAATGTCTTCTGAAGAAAGGGCAAGATGATTGTTTAGAAGAGTTAGGATGAGCATTATGTCAGTGTGAATGTCGTTTCTGGGTCCTGTTGCCTACATATAGCCTGGGTGCCATTCCGAACTTAGTCCCGCCCACAACGTTTGAGGTCGGGAAGTTCGGTCTGGCATTGCTCAATAGTAGCGCGAGTATGCTCGCACAATATCTGGCGGGCCAATCAAATTGTCAGGGCGGGCTTTATACGATGATGGACAGATGATCAACAGTAACGTAATCAACCACGTCACCAAAGCGCGCTTGGGTGACAACAACAATGGCTGCCGCTGGAAAGTTGAGGTGTGTAGATTCTGCTATTAGGTCTGTTCTAGAAGATATCGACAGCAAATTAATTTTAAAAGAGGAACAGAGAAACACGATCAAGGCTCATCTTCTTATTCTAGGCGTGCAACTGCACGCTTTGATTTTTGTTGACAACAACTATGCGTTGCTTAACATACGTCCCGCACTCCGTCGCTCTTATTGGTTGTAGGTCTATCCCATTGAGTGAAGAGGCATTTTTTTTCCCTGGTTCATTCGAAACACGCCCCATAATCACAGCTCTATGGAGCAGTATCAGACTCATATTCTGACTAGAATTGAGTCGGACTACGTCAGGCTAGCCTACATGTTGCTAAGAGTTGGGTGGGTATGTTTTCATGAAGCTGAGATCCCAGGAAGAATGGCAAAGGTTTAGCCAGTAGCTAAAGGGGATTCTTAATAAAACAAAGTAAACATTTGTCCTGCTGTAAGGCTAAATGTTCTGCATAACACGTTCAAATCATCTGTTCTCAGACTTACCTCGAGTCTCCACAGTTGTCGGGAGCATTTGTCATCCCATCCTGAAGGCTTAGGGGTATTCGGAGTGTCAAACTCGCAGAAAACCTTGGTGGGTCCACTTGCCAGAAGAAAACAGTCGTAGATGACCCCCGCCAGGCCAAGCAGGACACTGAACACATTGGACACCAGAGAATACCAGACCTGCAGATACAGGAGCCACTTAGATTTAATCCAGAAACAATTTGATAATTCCACTTGTGCGGTTAGAAACAGAAATCACAGCTTAATAAGATCAAAATATAAGAAAACTAATTGACTTTTACAATTCAATCTGAAAAAAAACTGACTACAAATAAATCAAAGGTCTTGTAAGAAAATATGCATTAAAATCATGCAGCATTTTATCTGTTTTTACTTGTGTTGTTTTTATGTTATCATGTGAAGCACTTTGTGACTTTGTCTGTGAAAAGTGCTATACAAATAAAGTTTACTTTACTTACTTTACTTTACTTAGCATGTAAATATCAGAAATCTGAAATTTGTTGTAATAGAACAGATTTTTTTCTTTTAAAGTCAAACTTTTTTTAAATTATTTTTTTAAAGGCAAAACTTCACCAGTTTGACGGAAGTGCGTCGTCCTGCTGCCAGAGCCAGAGAGCCAGACACCACAAACTGAAAAACAGCAGTGTCAATGTTAGATTATCTAGGTTTATCCTTAGAAGAAACACATTTACACGTTTTTTTCACCAATTTATGTGATTTCTATAATAAATCCTGAATTCCTTACGATACATGGAACATGGACAATTTTCAGACCATCTCCTGACAACATCCAGCAGATTCTAAAAAAAATCTCAAAAAGATTTCTGAAAAAACATTGATGTGTTCAGTAAAGACGTCATAAGTATTGGAGAAAGATATAAACTTGGTTTTCTTTTGGAAATTAATATTCTGGACAAGCAGAGTTTTAATATATCTAGAAATCCCAGAATTTATAAGAAAAAAACTACTTGTCATTCCTGGATCCAAGCTCCTCCTTCCACCCACTGTCCCTTCCAGTGTCAGAAGCATTAAAACTTCTAAAGGACCCATGGGGTGTCCTGATCAGATGGACAAGCTAAGAGGACTCCTTTATACAAAGAATAGTCCCTGCACTCTGAGCATCCCTCAGATGATGGATCTCCTCTCCTCCATTTCTGAGGCCCGTTGTCCTACAGAGGACATCCATTCCAGTTTCTAATATCCACCTTCTCATTCTTTTCAGTGTGATCTGTAATAAGCCCAAGTGCAAAAGTCCTAGAAGTCCTATAGCAACCTGTTTTAACCTCGTCTACTTCCCATTTCCAAGCGGTCACACCATCAGTCGTCAAACGTAAAGGAGAAGAAAAGGGGCGTTTCTCAATATGCGTTCTTGAGCGTTCTCGTGTGCTCGTGTACTCGTGACACGTCATCAGCCTCAGCCCGCGTACCGTTCCAATTCTCAAGAACGCCAGATCGAGAACGCATCAAATCCCGGATGTTGTTCTCACCCCGCCCTCTTTATCGAGCATGCATCAGAGCAGACTTGTGCGTTCTTCAGACTGACCGCTTCCCCAGAATGCCCCGCGGCCGCAGCTTGATTCCAGACAGCGCTCACAGTGTTAAGTTAAACATTCCCTGTAACTGTTTACATTTCCTTTTCCTTTTAATATATCTATATATTTTTTTTATTTTTATTTTTATTTCACGGTAGCTGTTATGGAAGTCCCAAATCTCATTGTATCTGTCACAGAATATAATGACAATAAAGGCTTTTTGACTTTTTTTGACTTTTTGACTTGCTGCTGTTGTTCTTCAAAAGTATGTTTTGAAATCGTTTGAGGCAATAACATTATACATTTAAGCCTCCCTGTGTGGTCTGTTTACAGAGTTAGTGCGAAATTTAAAAAAAAAGTCAGACGTTGAGCGGACCAGCGTGACCAGCAGACCTCCGAGGGTAACCGCAGCCAGGGCTAAATTTACCCCGTCTGTAGTGCACTTCTCTCGAACTAGTTATGTGTGAACTACCGCTCGTTCTGATGGCGGTTTTTTGCGGTTCGGTAATTATTGTTTTCAAAATGTTTTGTGTAGGGAATAAATAGTTTTGACTGTTAAAGAAATGCTAAACAACGTTGCCTGTGATGACGTCATGAGTACGCTTCTGCTCCAATACCCATACATGCTTGTGTGCTCGCGTTCTCGTCAAGTCCGATCTTCCTGCGTTCTCGCCAAGAACGGACTTGACGAGAACGCGAGTACGTAATCGCGTTCTCGTGAATTGAGAAACGGCCAAGGTTTTGTCCAGATGATACAAAATAAGTTCTTTTTAGACAGTTCTCACCATCCAGTCTGACAAAAGAAAGTTGTAGGCTCTTTTGAGGCATGTAAGGGCCAATGGGACAACAGCTGCTCAAGTCCTTGATTTTTCTAAACGGACACCCTCTGATCTGAGGTCCCCAACCTTTTTAAGGACCGAAGGCTACTTCATAGGTACTGAGTCATAAGACGGGCTACCAATACTGACCCTTTGGACTGGAGGGATCAGTGTTCACCTTGACTTCATACATAATGAACATATTTTTATTGGTAGGGATGGAGGGAAAGAAGACAGGAGGAAGGAATTCTTTTAACTTCAATTTTTTTTTTACTATACTGTCATTTTGAAATCTCAATAAATGCTTAAATACTCTGCATGATTAAAATTATGAATTGATCTATAAAGTATTTAAAAATAAATAAAATCTATACATTTTGGCTGTTTGGCTGAGTTGTGCTGTTTTCAGAAGATGCTGTGGGAACCCCATGAGGCCCCTGAGGACCCACAGGCATCACGTTGGTGACCTCTGCTTTAGATTCTGTCCACAAATGCCGCAAACAAGATCAGGTACAAGAGGCAGCTCATGAAAAGTGTTCAATAAAGAATAACTGCAGATACCATTCAATTATTTGAACGGAGACTGAACTGAATATAATCTTAACCAGCAGGAGGTGACAGAATGAGTCGTGGGGAATGGAAAGGCCAAACTATTCAGAGCAACAAACTGGAGACAAAACATAAAAAGAATTTAAGGAAAACACCTTCAAAGAGCTTTTAATTTGACACATGAGGAACGTTTTAACCTTGGGTAAATGGTATCTATCAGAAGAGGAGAGTTCTGGATCAGGAGTGTAGAAAAGGATTGCACATCATTATATCCATTTAAATTCCTATTTTCCTAAGTTTTTAATTAACGTACCGAAACACCAAAGCCAAACGGAGCGTAATGGATCAGAGCTTCGGAGAAGAAGACTGTCAGACTGAAGAGGACACAGAGCACACCAATGAAGATCTGAACGACCTGGAAAACAAAAACAAGGGATCAGTCCCTCCCAGCTTAGTTTCTTTAATCATTAGGATCCACTCAGTGTCAGAGTCTCACCCCAAGGCCCATGGACTCCCCCTGCAGGAAGATCGTCTCCTTGCTGTCCTTCTTAGGGGGGGCAGGAGGGGTCTTCAGGACAGGGGATGGCACCTGATCTGTGGGGTTGGCAGAAGTCTCTAGGGGAATGGAGCGGTCATCTTTAGGGATGACCTGTGTAATGATAACCACTCCACCCACGGTGGTGACAGACGTTGACGTCATGATAGGAATTCAGTGGATCACAGATGGAATTCTGGGAAAATATCCAAGTAGAGGTATCAAACATCGAATCCAAATATGATTAATATAAAAAAAAAGAAAAGCAGTTTGTGAGCTGAAAATATCAAAGCGACATCTTCTTTTATCCTCCCATTGGGAATATGGACCTCTGGACTCTTTGAGTACAAGGCAAAGAATTAAAGCATTGGATTAGTTAAAGTCCAATAAAACGAATCGGATGGACATCAGTGCATCATAAGAATGAACTAATGAAATTAATATTATCAACAATGGTACCTCTGTAGTAATTTGAACTCTTACTGATTCTTGCATGTACTCTGTGATTCTTCCTGTAGCTTGTAGCGTATCCATATTTATTAAATATCTTAATACTGTGTTAAAAAAGATTTGTTTGAATAAAAGTAGAATTATTCTAAGTGTGGTTGTCCGTGATTATTTATACAGCAGTGATCAATTGTCTATAAGAGCTGGATTAAATTCCTTTGACTTAACAACGTGAATAGATAGAGACATATTTTCCTTTTGGTAAATGAACAACTGTTCTTAATTTATAAACCAAGTTATTGACAAAAACTGATGCTGAAAACCACTTGGATTTTAACAGCTGGTCCAAAACATCCAATTACAAAAATAAGACATTAATAACAACATGTAATTGGGCAAATTGTCAATTATAATAATTTAATCAATGGTTATTACTTGGTTTTAGCTTTGATTTGAATGACATATTAACAACTTCCAATTCCAGTAATTAATCGATTAATAATCAGGTAAACTTGCACAACATATGATGTTTACAAATATGTTATCAAACAGTAGTATTGGCCAATAACCTAGGAGCTTGGAGAATCCATTTTGAACCGTTTATCCTTTTTTAAATCTTCTTCCTTGTATTTGGATCCCAATTGGTTGCATATTAATTGATGCCGATATGATAACTTTTTGCAAATACAACTATTGTATTAGTTAAATAATCAAAATTATGTAATTGCACTATAACATTGATCTTCCATTGTTCGTTTGGTATTACATATGGATGCATTACGCACTTAGGCGGAAGAAAACATAGTTTCCATCAATTCAGGAAATTTTTAGGCAGTTTTCTTGGTAGTATGCATCATCTAAAATGAATATAGTATCAAAGGTAATTTCACACATACATACATACACACACACATATACACATTATATATATATATATATATATATATATATATATATATATATATATATATATATATATATATAAGATTTAATTGTTTTCATGACCTTGAAAGCTTGCTTTTCCAGTGTGTCCTGAGGAGCCAGTTTGAGAGCCACTCTTATGGGGTAGTTATATTATTTTGTATATCTAACATAAAGTAGATGTATTTGCACAAAAGTTTCATATTGGAATCATCAGCATCTGAGTAAAACCCCCACGCAAAAAGTAATGATGACACCTAGTTTTAAACGGCACAAAACACACAAAAACACATTAAGCCTTCCTCCTCTATGCAGTGTGGAGTAGGCTGACAGGCAGGATCGTAGCAAAATAAAATCAGATGGAATAAAGAAAAAAATTGGAAAAAATACAGGGATTAAGACAGTTGATTGGCAAAACTGTATAGGATTTATATTTTGGGATGAAGCACTTTTACCCAGAGAAAGAAAGCTAATCAGGAAGCCCTGACTAATCACATTCTGCATCTTAGTTCTGCTTTCAGAGAACCAACCACAGATATTCCCTGGACTCTCTGCTGAAGTTTACTGACAAAAAACAACAGCTAATTCTTGTCAAAACACATTATTTCAATAGAAATGTGACCCTCCTTGCTTTATCATTCTCCAACTTATTGTTTTATTCTTTTAAGATAATTGAAAAGAGACAAAGGGATTGCTTTTCTTCCTGTTCCGTTTTTGTTCATAGAAAAAAATGGAATCCGTTTCTTTGGTTTTCTTCTCATGTCTTCCTCATTATTATTATTATTATTATTATTATTATTATTATTATTATTATTTTTATTTTTATTTTTATTATGCATTTGGGGAAAAAAATGGCATCAAACAAATAACTTAATGAATAAATGTAAACACATAATCTCCATTTGGACTCTGACAATAAAATATAACAACGATAAAGGAGTGTAAACGTTCAAACTCCATGTAGACAGAAAGCCTTAGGCCATTAGATCAAACTCAATGCGTCTTCTTATAGTGAAACTAGCAATTCTAAGCCAACCAGCCACATAAACAATATTAAACATGTATCTTTGATCAAACAATAGCTAAGGACTTTAAAACCCGATGAAAAACAACTGCGCCTAAGAAGGAAAAAGTCAAAAATGTTTCAAGTTGGAACCCGGAAATCAATGTCGCAACACGCTAAATATACAGGATAAAGACAACAACAAAGTGGATCATACTAAACATAATCTACAGTGTTTAGGGGAAAAAACTTCCTCGTTATCTTTGGAGAATACTGTAAATCGTTACCTGCTTTTAATCCGTCCGTTTTCAGTTGGCGTGCTCTGCTCTGTTTAGGTAGGGGTGCCTTCAGGTTTCCTTTGGAAAACTGGAAATCTTAATAACGGTGCCTGTCTAAAAAGCCAAAGCTTAGGGTTGTCAGAGCTGCTCGGGTCCTGCGCATGTGCGCAGTGACGTTACATTACAGGATTGGCTGAACGATGCCACATGATGTTGTTGCCCAGACAACGATGATAACATGACACAGCGTCCGTGTGCCGAGTTTGGAGCATCTGTAGCATGTGTAGCGACTAATCGATGACGTTTTACCTGATCGATAACAAAACCGAAAAATAAAATGTTTATGGTGAACAAAGTAGCTGCAAGCCCATGATATAAAGGAGGAGAGCTGGGTAGCGCTGTGGCTAGCTGTGCTCAGGTGCTAACAGGTTAGCCTCCTTTAGCTCGGTCAGTTAGCCATGTTAAGCTACTCTACTTTTAACTTCGTGTCAATTTTTTTAATTGTCTAAAATCTCTACGGAAATCATTTTGAAGATGTCCAATTTGTCCTCCACTGCCCTCAGATGTTAATAAAAGAATAAAATAAACTGAGACTTATTTGTCATCTTGTTAAATGGCCGCACTTTCAGTCATGCACTTTACTTTTCTTCAAAACTGACAATGATTGTTTTCTACATTCGGCTACTTTAGATCGCGAATGCAATGTAAAATAATAGCAAACATAGGTAATAATATCTTGAGCTTCCAAAAGAGATTTGATCCTTAAGAAACCGGTGCAATAACTTTTTCCGGAGTGGATTTGTCATCAGAAAGCAGATCTGCTACCTACGTACAATCTGCTACCTACAACAACATTGCTTAGTATATACAAAGAAATAAGAAAATAAATGCATCTAACGCATTAGGTTGTCGAATCAAAATGTTAAAAAGAAACAGATGAACAATTAGTTTCTATACCAAATACAATTGTTTTCAAGTGAACCAAAAGTCGGTTTAAGATATTTATTAATTTAAGTTAATGATTAATGTCTTAGAAGATCCTCAACAACATCATTAGAATAATTTCCGTATTGGCTGTTTTATCCTCTTTTTATTTGATGTATTCAATGTGATAGTGAGAATTTCGACGGCCTATGAAAGCAACACAAGGAAATCCTAGCGTCACTTCTGGTAACTGAAGTATTTTTTATTTATTTATTTTATGTTTTATTATCACCATCATATACAACAGACATGGCTTGACTTTAAGAAAACAACATTTGTAAATGAAAAACCTGCTAATTTACACATTTACTAATCTTTCAAATTTCTTTTCTATTCTCAGAGTCTCAAAAATAATCCAGAATTCAATAAAGTTTGGAAATTTGGGGAAAAGCCAGTAAAGCACATCATCCAACAAAACTTTGCAATACACACATTCATAGAAAAGATGTTCAGTTGATTCAATATCACTGTGAAAAAATAAACAAGTGTTATCAATAGCAAATCGAAGTCTAAGAAATTCCTTAGAAGGGTAAACACCGTAAATATTTTAAAGTGGAATTCCTTGGGTTTTGGAGGAATGGAAAGATTTAAATAATTTGTTCTTATTTTTAATCTTTCAGACTTGAAGAATGGGATATACAATTTGGGTTTGATACAAAAAAAATAAAGTATTTTTAAAGTATTCCCTATTTTTTGAGTTTTTTTAGATCATTAACTGTCATACTGTGTCCATTAATCAGAAGTCCAGGGGCTCTGTGAATAGGGTTCTCTTAAAAACTTTAGCTGTGCATAAAATATTTGGGGGAATAGCTCTAATAATTTTTTTAAAATTCACTTCAGTTTTTTTTGCAAGTTATGTTTAATACTGAAGTCTTCATAAGACATAATCCCTCCATTATTTAATAAATGCATCACTGACCAAACACCTTGTTCTAGCCAATTACGTGCAAAGATTGATTTTTCATTCATTTTTATGTAATGGCAATTCCACATGGGAGTATTGTGTGGGCTGTAGTTATGTTTATAGATTAATCTCCAATATAATAACACCTGCTGGTGAAAGAAGCAAAGTTTAACGGGTAGTTTTTTAACATCAAAGTCACATCTAAGAAGAAAACTAATTTTCTTCTTTCTTTCGCCCAGGTTTAAAAAACTTTTTGCTTGGAATATTAATAATTTTGTTTGAATAAAAAAAGCAAAGCTAATTTATTTTTAAAGTGCCCTTCATCTTGTCAAGTCCAATAGCTTGTATTCCTCCATCTTCAATTTGTTTAATTAATTTACCTTTTTTTTGATATAGTGAGTTTTCTGTTTTCATATAAAGTCAAAATTCATCCTGTTGAAAGATTTCATTGCTGGATTGGGTATTCTTAATGTATATGCAGAGTAGATAAGTCTTGAAATACTTTCCATTTTGGTGAGTAATATTCTTCCCAGAATAGATAAATCTCTGTGTGTCCATTTACTTCATATTTATTTTTATGTATATGCACACCCAGATATTTAAAATAGGATTTTATAGGAATATTAAAAGCAGTCAATATGGGACAGTCTTTTAGAGGCAAAATTTTACATTTGTTTAAATTTAATTTATGTCCTGAAGCCTTTGAGAACATTTCAGTCAATTTAAGAATTTTGGGTATTTCATTCAGGTTATTTAAGAAGATGGTTTTATCATCAGCTAGCTGACTAATAGAAAACTCTTTGCCTGCCACCGATAATTTACCAAATTGAGTGTTTTTCATTGATATGGAAAGCATTTCTGCAGCAGCAATAAATAGCAGAGGAGAGATTGGACAACCTTGCTTTATACCTTTATTGATGCTAAATCTTTGTGAGGTACCATGTGGAAGACCCACTGAACTGTTTGTATTTTTGTAAAATGTTTTAATTACATTAATAAATGTATTTCCAAACCCAAATAAATCCAAAGCTTTGAACATAAATTAATGTTTTTTCAATCAAATGGTTATAGTCAATTAGGTCCAAAATAAGGCAAATGTTATTATTTTTAACATGTTGTATTATCCTTGTTTATCATGGGTGAATTAAAATACTATAGCTTGGTGCGGTGCTGTCCTATAAGAACTGTCATTAGTTGACAGAAGAAAAAAAGTCTGAAAAAAATCATTATGGGCCCCTGGTGATTTATGGGGAGATATCAAATAATTGTAGAATTCATACATGGATTAGGAGATGTGGCTCATGATGATATAACTTTGAAAAATAAAATTTTCATACAGCATCAAAACATTTGAACGTCCTTAATTTAGATCCTAATATTTGTATAAATTTGTTTGTTATGTGTACTCACCTCATTGGTCATTTTACTACATCAATTTCATATTAATGCTGACTAACATGTCAGCATTTTGCAATGGTTGCCATCCTCTTTAAGGCTGTTGTATATGTCCCAACATAAAAAGGAAGGAATAAGTGGGGAAAAAAACAAACTGTACAGAGGAGCATCGCCTCTGTTTGCTTTGGCAGGAAAATAGAGGATTTTTAAAAGAAAAATTTGTCCCAGGATCAGGGTGCAAAGACTTTGAGACGCATTTCTGAGCAGATGTGACTGTTTCTCGTCCTTTACTCACCAGCATGGAAAGTGAGAAGTGCTACTTGTGAGAGCAGATGGTGTCGCACAATCATGTTTCTAGATGACGCTTTAGGTTATGAAAACTATTATTGTAACTCGTGTATATTTATGTATGTATTTTTTCCTGCAACTTTTCAGTTTGAAATCTTTATCATTGCGAGCATTTTATAATGTGTAATAATATTTGACATTCCTCCATATTATCCTGTTTTCACATTTTCTACTTTTTGTTAAGGATTATAAACATTTTTTATATTTATTGATTTACCCTGAATAAACTTATATAGCTAAAGGTCCGTCTTTAACCTATCTGGCTGCTAAAGTGAATCTCTCCTATGGGGATAATAAAATGTGTTTCCATATTAATAATTGTATTATTATTAAAACATTTGCCCTTTCAATGTTTGAGTCTCTTGCTCGACACAACGCTTGCTAAAGGTCCTCCTCAATACTTCTTCAATTGCTTTATTTTGTGAATAACTTTCATAATCCTAAGGTAAACACAAAAGAAAAATCCTGTAGTTTGAGAAATTCTAAGATTTGTTATTAAAATAAATCTTTGTAAATACAGGCACATGTTTTTAAGAGGTGGTATTTCAAAGTTCTTTTTTTTGGCATATTTTTCCACTTTTTATTCCAAAATAAAAAAAGTGCAGTCAAAAATAAATTAACTTTCACATCTAAACCAAATCAGGTTTACATAAAATAAACAGAAAGGTTTTATTATAACCAGACACAGATGTGAAAAAACTACTCATATGCATATTTTTACCCATTCATTTCTTTCCACAACATAAATAAGAAGTCTGCTTAACTATGATGCTGATTATTAATGCATTCTTTGTGACAAAAATATAGATATTGAAAAATAAGTTGAAAGCATTTTGACTTTGCATATTGTCCATGATTTTCAGTGGAGAGGTAGGTGAAGTGTGAAGAGGAAGGAAATCTGCTATATTATGCCGATTTGTATCACTTCTCCTCACAGAGCAAACACACAGCTTGGTTACATCACAAGACACATTTTTTTCCTGAGCTGAGCTACGACTCATTAGATTTAAGCGTTCACCTCATATGTTTGGGGCTTTTATTGTTGGAAGACTGACATTGTTCACAGAAAACAAGACATTTATTAGCTGGATTTTTTCCCCCTGGAATTAAACAGACTTGAAAGAAGCAGCGAGGAGATTTTTGATTGGATTTGTTGTCCTTCTTGTTTCTATCACAGGTATTGAAACGCACTGGCAGAATAAAAAATATATCTGAATAAAATGAGATAGTAACTACAGTATCACTTGTTGATTTGAGAAGGTTGGCAATTGTAAATTCACACTATGAAAAACGTGATTGTTTTAAGGGGACCTTTACGGTTATTATTAATTATTATTATTTTTATTATTAAAATAACTCAGGATTTCAGCACTTTACAGTCTTCTGGGAGTTTGTTCCAGATAAGTGGAGCATAGGAACCAAATGCTGCTTCTTCTTGTTTGGTTCTGGTTCTCGGTGATCAGAGTGAGCTGGAACTAGGAGACCTGAATGGTCTGGGAGGTTGATACACCGACAACAAATCTGTTTTGTATTGAGGGGCTGATCCATTCAGAAGTTTATAAACTAACAGAAGGATCTTAAAGTCTCTTCTCTGAGCTATAAGGAGTCAGTGTAAGAACTTCAGAACCAGGCTGATGTGTTCTACTTTCTCAGTTCTAGTGAGAACACGGTCAGCTGCATTTTAGATCAGCTGCAGCTGTCTGATGGACTTTTTAGGCAAGCCTATAAAGACATGTCAGTAATCAATTCTACTAAAGATTAGTGCATGAATAAGTTTTTCTAGATCCTGCTTGGACATTAGTCCTTTAATGTTGGAAATTAAAAAAAAAATGTATTAATTAAAATGCATCTCATTTATCAATGTATACCTATTCTCTCCATGTATTTATAACACCTCATTGAAAAACTATTTATCTTAGCTTCTCCAAGGCCTTCCTCTGTGTCACTGAGCCCATCTAGCTTTATAGCAGATGGTGCTACAGTAACCCTGACACGCAGCAGTGAAGCAAACCCAGTAGCGAACTACTCCTGGCACAAAAAGAATGATTATACTGCTGCTCAGCTGAATGAGGAGCGGAAGCTTGTCCTAATTTCCATCAAGCCATCTGAGTCTGGAGATTATTACTGTTAAGTCAAGAATAAATTTGGAGGCAAAACATCTGAAGTCATTTCTATTGATGTAAAATGTAAATATATCTCAAATATATTCTCTTTCATATTCTCATTTCATCTAATGATATTTATGACAAAAATGCAGAAAATGGAACCTAAACATGACTAAATAGTTTGTAATCTTTATTTTTTATCCTCTAAGGAATCTGAAATGTAAGACTACAGAAAAAAAAGTATGGTCTACCAACCTGAAGGCATGCCAGCCTGTGTTTGTCTGTACAATGAGATTTTTATGCTTTTAATCTGCAGATGCACTCAGGCCTCCTTCTGTGAAAGTGACACCTTCTAGTGAGATAATGGAGGGCAGCTTGTTGACTCTGACCTGCAGCAGTGATGCTAACCCAGAGGCTAAATACACCTGGTACAAGGAGAAAGAGGATTCACCTACAGCCTCAGGACCAAACTTCACCATCAGTAGCATTATGTACCAGCAGGGAGGAAACTATTACTGTCAAGCCCAGAATATTATAGGGAGCAGTAGTACTGTGCTGAATGTGAAAGTTGTGCCAGGTAATGTCAAATCAGGCTGCAATTATTTGGTGTTCTGTTGTAAACATTAAAATATAGTTTTTATTGTTTGTCAGGATAGCCTGGTTAGACTTTGGAGAAAAAACATTAAGAGGTTTGGTAATTAGATAAGTCAAACCTTTTTTTTAAAGCTGCAGTGGAATTTATTCATATTCATCATGGTCTCTGTGCTTATTTTTAGTAATCACTTGTTTTATTTTTATTGTCAGTTTGCATATAATATATATATATATATATATATATATATATATATATATATATATATATATATATATATATATATATATATATATATATATTATATATATATATATATATATATATATATATATATATATATATATATATATATATATATATATATATATATATATATATATATATATATATATATATATATATATATAAACTACCACTCTTTTTGTATGTAACAGATAACATCTACATCATTTATGACAAAATTTAAACATTTGGGATACATTTAACCCTTCTTAATATTTTTCAGATATCTGCAACCCTTGGTAACTACGTAGCTTTGTTGTACAACTTGAATGCTATATTTTCCATTATTTCACCAGCTCAAATCAAATATTGAAAAACAAAAACAAAGAACAGAAAGGTTAACCCTGTTTCACAGGATAGTGGTCAGGAGATGCAAATCACTCATAAGACCAGAATGGTTGTTTTCTAAGAGACAAAGAAATATTCCATTAGAAAATAGACCAAATTTAAATGGTCGCATTAGACCTTTGCAAACCAAAAATGTAGACTATAAATGAGGAAAAACATCACAATTATCTTATTTTTGTTTGGAAAGGGTTCTAAATCTATCATACATGGTCTCCCATGCTCAACCGTTTTAAAGGAGAATCAGAACCAAAGAGGGATAATGTATTATGCAAAGTTTGAAGATAATACTCTACTATTTAGTTACATCATTCATGAAATGTGTGCATTTTATGACATTTATCAAAAATAATTCCTGGAAATTCTTAAATATGACCATTAACAAGCTATGGTTTATGTCCATCCTGAACCTAACTGTAATTATCTGCTAATTATCTCTGTTTAGTGCCATGGAAACGAGCCACTGCTGCAGTAGCTGCAGCTGACGTTCTCCTCGTTTTCATCTCCATCTCTGTGTGGATCTTGTGAGCAGTTTTGTTACAATAACATGTTGCTTGTAAATTTTTTTTAGTGTATATTTTAATATCTTAATATTCTTTACTAATTTCTTTCCAGCAGGAAAAACAAACAACAGCTCAGACCTGAAGCAGGACAAGCCCCCAGAGAACAGGTTAGAGAAGAAATATATTTGTCTCTAATCATCCTTTTAATTAAATCAATTTTTTATATAAAAACGTTGATGTGTCAAGTAGATCATGCAAAAATAACCAGGTGAGGTTAGTTGGTGTGGTCAGTTACTGTTTAATAAAACAATAAACACATTTTTCAATCACTCTTTTCCTATTATTAACCCGGATAAAGCTTTCCTTTGCTTTTATTTTTGCTTTCAGCTTGAATTTTTCTATGTGGTGTCTGTACTTGTAACAATGCTCTTAAGCTCACAGATTTATTGTGACTGGTTTACACAGGTGAAAGAAGAAGAAGATGTTCTCTATGTTTCTGTCCACTTTGTAAAGAAACAGGAAGAGCCACTTTACTCCAACGTCACATCAGCTCAGTCCAGGAGCTACATGATGGAAAACAGGCAGTTAAAACAGATGGAGTATACCACTGTTAACTGTTTAACAACCCCAGCTGTTACAAGGTGAAATTGTCTTAAAGGGCATATCTTTTTTATTCAAGCCATTAGTTTAATGAGTGTGTAATACGTATATCCTATGATATTAACTCTCTTTAAGCAGAACTGAGCCGAACAAGCAAGACGTTGAAGAGGATCCAGATGCTTTGTACAGCAGAGTCAACAAAGCAAGAAAGAAAGGTAAATCTCAAGTTGACCTTTTCCCAGATAAGGATGGGCTCAGAGTTTCTTTAGCAAAAAAACACACAGAGAAACTAAAACCATAGTCCAACAAACAAAAAAAACCCCACCCCAAGTGGAAGACAGGGGCCCTGGAAGGAGGGCAAAAAACAAAAACCAGAGTCCAAAACAACCCAAAAACAACCACCTAAGTTGGTACTGAAGATGCAGGGTCTCTGGAGGCAGGCGGTGTGGCCGGAGATGATGCACAGTCTCATTAGGCAGGCTGTAAAGCCGGAGACGATGCAGAGTCTTAGGGGGCAGGCCGTGAGGCTGGAGAAGATGCAGAGTCTCTGGAGGCCGGCTGTGAGGCTGTAGGGGACAGAGGAGCACCTCTGGAGGACGGCCGTGAGTACAGCAACAGAGAAGGACCTCTGGAGGATGGCCCCGGGGCTGGAAGTGACGGAGGAGGACTTATGGAGGCCGTCAGTGAGGATGGTGACAGAGGAGGGCGTCTAGTGGACGGCGGTGGGGATGGCATGGTTTCTGAAAAGGAGGACACTTTTTTAGGGAAGGGCGCTGCTGATTGGACTGGGCATTCGTTTCCGGACCAACCCCGGAGCTCACAGCTTGGTTCTGCTGCTCTGTAGTCGACCAAAATCGCCGATGATTTTGAAATTTGATATTTTTTTAGGTATGAAAAGTAGGACATGTGTGGGAAAAAGAGGAAGTCTGGTCACCCTACCATATCAACCATTTCGGTGTTTCAGTGAGTGAGTGCTTTTTGCTAAGACGCGTCTTTGCTCAGCAGCTTCGCTCGTTGTAAACCAACCAATCAGCACACAGCTCATCTAAATATTAATGGGCATACCATAAAAGGAATAAAACCTGTTGTTTCATTCTACGGCTTTTAACCAGGCTTGCATTAGGGCTCATAGAACAGCAAATATGCCATTTTCAGCCCCACAAATGTTACACACCCTATTCAGACCTTAAGGACCAGCACCAAATACCCTATATAATCAATCTATGACCCCTTTAAGATCTGAATCAGGAAACACGTTTATAATGCAGTGTGGTTTGTTAATATCACTGATAACTGCATGATTAAGTATTATCAAGATCTTCTACTGTATAATTCATTACTGATGGTCAGATTTGTTTCTTTTTTTGCTTTGTTAGATGACTCAAAAGACCAACAACTGCTTCATCACTGATGGGATCCACACTTACAAGCAGATGACTGTTTCTGAATAAAACATGTAAGAATATCAAAATAGTTCTATGATCTTTGACAGTGGTTTAATTATTCATGTGTTATATGACAGCAGGTTTAACCTGCGCTATAGCAGCACAAGAAATTTGTCCTGCAGTTTAGGGCACCTGCCAATTTCTTTGTATTGTGCTAGATTTATGGTTAGGAATATAACCGTTTAGTTGGATCAGATACAAATGAGCACTTTTACAACCGGTACACATGCTGAGAGATTTTCAGATGAAAACCTCGAGTAATCAGTGTTTGAGTTCACACTGTTAATTTCACAGATTATTTTTACTTGTGTATTCATTATTTACTAAAAGGAAGCACAAAACTTACAAGCATGTTTAAAATAAAAAATATAAAGTCTAAACCCCTGAGAAGCAGAGATATAATGTTTGTTCATTCATTTACTTGTAAATGAGTTTTAAATGTAGGATTATGTAGTTTGGACACACTACTGATATCTTAATTATACAACAGATATCAGACAGTTGCTCAAGGGCCCTTATTCTGAGCCAAAGGTTATGCTGACTTATCTAAATGAGACACATATCATCTGTGTGTTTTAAAATAATTGAAAATAATGTTTTTCTCCATGACATACCAAATCGTTATCTCAGATCATTTACTGTTCCTCTTGCTAAACGTTGGAACACATCCTCCTCTGTGTTCTTGATTAATTTTGTTTTATTTTCTCGAAGTCAAGACGATTTGCATGAAGCCTAATTTTTTTCTAAACTAACTAGTTGGGTCATAAATAAAGTATTTTTCTGTATCAGAGATTAATGGTTATTAGTTAGATACACATGTCATTTCTTTTTAACAGAAATGTACTATTAGCTTAATGCAACAAACTTGCATTTTTACTTTTACTTAAGTGATATTCTTGTAACAGTATTGCTACTGATCATACTCTTACCAGAGTAAGAGTAAAAAAAAACAAAAAAAAAAAAAGCAGTGCTTGGACTACAAGTTGCTTGTGCTTGGTGAAGGAATTGACAAAGACTCCTGGATATGTGTCCAACCGCTTTTAGAAAATCAGAGTAAAAATATGATTGCCCTGTATTAAGTTAAGTGGATGCCGTGACCCTGGTGACTGCAAATTTGTAGAGGTAAGACCTGGCAACGTGAGGATTCGCTAAACCATGGCATTTTATTAAGTTCATTTTACAATTGTGTCAAGGATGTGTGTAGTTTGGTAGAGGATCCAGATGCAGAGCTGAAGAGGCGGAGATGATTTCTTGCAGATTTAATGAAGAGGTAGATAGTACAGAAGCAACAATCCAGAAATGACTGGCAAGGATCTCAGGTTTCAAAAAACTAGGAGATGCTTGGACAAACAAACATAAGGAATGAAGAGATTCCAGGAACTGAAGAGGGGTAGTATAAATGCCCAACAGAACAAGGAAGGGAGTAATCAACTGATTGGGAGCAGGTGTGGACAGAAGTAATTAGAAGGGAGCTAGGGGAGAGGAAACTGGCAACAGGGGGGCAACACAGAGTAACTCAGAAATACATCAGTACTTAAATATAACTAGAAAATAATTTATATTACAATAAATGGAAATGAAACTAATGACTTAGAAAAAACAGACAGTGTAATTGAAAACCCAAAGTGAAACTTTGGGCACAGAAAATCCTAAGAAGGAGATCAAAGTGAAAACCAATACTTCATTTTGCCATTTTCAAGCCTATTCTATGTATATATATATATGACCGTGATTAAGACCTAAAAAATTTTTATTTTGAAATTTTAATTTTTTGAAATATATTAATATATATTTTTGTGCAAGATGTGCAAGGTAAATATTTGATATTTAATGAATAGTAAAGCGACGTATTTCCGCCCTAGTGCGCAACAAACTTTGGCATTGTACATGCGCAGTTGCTCCTCTGCATAAAAATACCATTGTGACAACTTAGTGTACGTTTGATTGGTCTTTGGTAACTGTCTATTTTGAATTTATAGTTCCCCATGGAGAAAACTCCACCAGCCACCATTGATTAAGTTCTGTCTAAAACCAGTTAGATATGTGCGTGATTGGCTTGCAAAGCCTTCCACAGCTAGTGAGGATCTGTTTCCCACTCAAGCAGCACATGCAGCAGCAATGGTCAGCATGGAGGACAGGATGCAACTTCCATATATACATTGCCCACATTCATTGCGTAAGACATCACTAACAAATATTATTTGAAATAGGCTATATAAATCATTCTGTTGAAAGAGTAATTGTTTTAACATGTTACCACACTGTCTTAAATAAAGTCATAACTGAAAACGTACAAAACAGTGGGCCCAAATAAATATTTTTTAGGATCCATTAAATTAGCCTTGATATTATGATTACAGGTTACAAAGGTTAACTCAACAACACACATTGATTTACCTGTTGATGTAGCAGCATTTATAGTACACACATAAGGTGTGTGGAGGACCCTAGCAAGTCTTTATAAAACAATACAAAAATAAAAATTTAGCTTCTTTAATAAAACACACATATTTTATTGTGTAACTGTTAAAAAGGAAAAATAAAACCTGCTGTATTTTTTGGCGGTGCGTGATGCACATGTGAGGTGCACTCAGAGCGAAAAAAATACAGGGGTGAACTCAATGATAGCTATAGCCATTGGCTGGGTGTTGAAAGTTTGATATTTCCTTTAAACTTGCGTTCGTCCTCCAAGCATCGTAGCAAGTCTCTGTCAGAGTCTGGACTGCTACCATGGTGACGACAGCTTCCTGGTCCAGGAAGGCCTTCTCAAAAGCGAGGGTCATCAAAGGGACCAACCTTTGATCAGCAGCAAGGCTGCTTCACAGGATGAAGTGTGAAGTGAGTAGGTGAAGGGAATAGCTACAGGTTGGGAAAGGCCCTTCCTCAGCAATATTTGTTCACCTAGTTCAATTAGCAGATAGCATCATTGTTGTATGCTTATGCCATCTGCCGGCAGTACTTACTCACATATCCATCAACTTGGAAACTTCTGTACTTTCGGCTCTCTCTCCGGTACAGATCAACGTCTATATTTCCTTTCAAGCACCATTTGTTTTTTATCTCCCTAGGCATTCATTTTGTGCTTTTTTCACTTTATCTTGAACTTTTTCTTTTCCCTTTCACACCTCTGCTGAGAGTTCCATGGCTCCATTACTTCCTTTTCTATTTATTGTGTGCAATATCATACCACAGGTCAGATGATCTTGTTATGGAAAATACATTCAGTTCTTAAGTTTACTAGCAAATGGAATGCAACAAAATTTAAAACACAGAAATGAAATCTAATAATCTAACAGGGCACCATAATCTAATGGAAAAGCCTTTGTATGCAGCTGCTGGTTGTGAAAGTTATAGTGCATATCAATTATAATTTTTTAGATCTTTGTGCAGAAGCTTGAAAAGAAAGACTATTTATTTCAATTAATTGTACTCATTTACCATCTATTTATAAGACATTCATTATATATTATGGTATTTAATAGAAAAAATATATTTTTTGTTAGCATTAATATTAGAGTCAGTCTATGTCTAGTCTTTTCTCCTAAGAAAACTTTGTGAAAGCAAAGGTTACGCAGTCCTATGTGGCACATTATAAAGTGCTAAATATAAATATTGATGGCTAATGTAGAATTCTCTTATTTATCTGCCTTTGCTCAGTTACAAAGTAAAATGTCACCCTGTGTTTTGTATTTGTTCGTGAGAAATCCCTTTCAATATATTAATTTGCTCTATCGTTTCTATTCATGTTACTCATATTACAACCAATAAAGTGATGTTTTTCTCCTTTACTCCTATTCATTGAGCTTCACAAGAGTTTATTTTGGGTTAAAACATATGTTGCAACTTAAAAAAGATAAGACAATTTGCATTAAAAAGACAAAAAAACAAAGCTTTATATTTCTACTTAGAATAATGTGCCTTTGTTGGCATTGGAGCAACCAAATTCTTCTTTATATCTGATGAGAATGACCTCTCTGTTATAATTTGTGAGAGTGAAGGTTTGAAGCAGCAACAAGACATTAGCAGGCACGTGATGATGGATTTATTTAAAGAAAAAACATAAACAGGACCTGAGGGAACCTGGGTGGGTGACAGCAAGGTTGTTAGCAGAGCGTCAACTAAGAAACAGGCAAGGAACAGGAAACAGAAAACTGACTAAAATACAACATTTACTTCCTTCAATTCACAGATTAGAATAGAAAATAGGGAACCACAAACTGACACAGGTGCCACGGGTAGAGGCGAACCAAGCTGACCATATTAACCTTATGCTATATAATGTGTAATCTAAAGAAAGAAACAATTAAAAGGCAGATAAACATAGTTTAATCATATTTTCATACTGCTCTGTGCATGTCTGATGATGACGTCAGAGAAGCAATTTAACAAAGAAAATGTAAAAAGCATAAAAATGGTCTCACAAAAGTCATAAAACATTTTTTACAGATGTGTATCACTATTCTTTAGTGAGTTAAGGATACAAATAAGTAGTTTTAATACCATAATTACATTATTTATGGACACCCGGATGTATATGTGTACACGCATGCACAGAACAGATCGTTCTACCGGGATGGATTTGGTAGTGACAGGCAGTTCGTTCTACCGGGGCCTAAATGCCAGGCGCACGTCATTTGATGTAGTGACAACGAAAGAGACAAATGAACAAGAAAATGTGTAAATAAAGAGCAGTTTGATAAAAATGTCTGTAGCGCCCCAAAGTCTGGGTTTCAAAAAGGAAGAGAAAGAAGGGAGAGAGAGAAAAGGCGTCCAGTTTTTCCACCCTCTCTTTTTTTCAGAAAAACTTAACTCAAAATTTTATATTCAGTAAAAGTTGAGTAAAATAAGATAGCTATCTGCTGGGTACAGTTACATAGTTATTCCTCCTCAATGTCGCAGGGGAATCACATCATTAATGATGCTGCTCAGCTGGGTGCCGTCTTAAATGGAGCATGATTGCAAGTTTTTTTTTTTATCATTTTGTTGATT